CGGGCGGCGGCTTCGGGCGCTCACGGCGCTGCGTTCGGCTCCGACGGCCTCTCCGGTGCGCTGAGGGCGCGCAGCGGAGCCGGGCCGGCGGCCGGAGGGGAGACTCCTCTCCATGGTCCAGAAGAGCAGCATGTCCCGGGGCCCCTACCCACCCTCGCAAGAGATCCCCATGGAAGTCTTCGACCCCAGCCCGCAGGTGAGGTGCGGCGCGCGGTGGGGGCTGGGGTACCCGCGTGTCCCCGATCTCGGGATTTGCGCGCCTGGCCCCGAGCCGGCCTTCGGTGCCGCGGGACGAGGAGGGGCGGGCGGGCCGGCTGTCACCCACGCCTTGCCATCTCCTCCGCGTCACGTTCCCCGCAGAGCGGGTACCAGCCCGGTGGGCTGAGAAGCGGGGGTGAGGGAGTCTGGTAGAGGGGATGCAGGCCTTGAGAACGGGACGTTGAGGGAAGCCAGAGAGCCAGGCAAGCCAGGTGGAGACGCGAGCTCCTTCGGGGGCGCCAGGCCGGGGTGGGTGGGTGGGGCGGAGGTGGCCCTGGGTGATGGCTGAGGCGCTGGTCTGAGGGCGGTGCCTTCAGGCCTTGTGAGCCACGGACACTGCGCTCGAAGGTGGGGAAGGGGCCAGCCCTCTACCAGGCCCCTGTACCAGCTGCCACCACCTATCCCCATCTTGGTCCGCTCCCCTCCCCCCAGATTGGCTTGTCACTCCCTTAGTCCCCCAAAACACCTCCGGAAGTTTGGAAAGTTGGGTGAATGCCTGCTCACTGTCCTGGAGGGCACAGAGCTGTTCACCTGGGTAGAGGTCTGCAGTCTGCCACTCCCACCCTGTGTGGTGCCCCTGGTCCCTCTACAGAGGGGCATTCTTCCCCGCGGTGGTTCCTGGAGCCACCAGCCCGCTTTAGGGTTGTCGCGCCAGGGGATTTCTGTGGGACTCGTCCTTCTGAAGGATAACTTTAACTCTTGTGTGCTGTGGTCAGCCCGGAGCAACTGGCCACCGTGCTATTGTGGTTGATGGGTGTGTAGGGGGTCAGATCAGACCTAAAAATACCCTCTTCCTCCACCCTGGGCCCCTTGGAGTCTGGGAGGCAGGTGGCTGGGGCCTTCTTCTCAGCTGTCCCCTGTCCCTCTGAGCGCCACTCCCTTTGCCCAGCCTTGGGGGGGGGTGATGAGAGTCTGGGGCTCACTGCAGGAGCCTGCTAGATTTGTAGGGAGCCAGACAACTGGCTTGGATATACAGCTACTTTGGGAGGGAAGAAGGGCTGGAAGGGGTCCCCAAGTGCCATCCTGTCCTATTATTCATCCTCCTTGTCCTAGGAGCCAGAACCAGCAGCCTGCTCCCGGCTCATCTAGGTTCTGTGGCCAGAGCAAATCTGGGCTGGCGCCTGGGGCCAGGGCTTGCAGGGCTGAGGCCTTCATTGTCCATTCTGGCTGGGCCAGGCTGGTGTGTCTGAGAGTGGCAAGGGCAGAGGCAGCTCCCTGCAGAAGGCCTGGGGACACCTGAAGCCTTTAGCTGGGTGTGTGGCCGCCCAAGTGGCCTGCAGCCACCCCACCAGAGCCTGGGCACTCACTGGACAGCTAGCCTGAACCTGGGAACCTGGGACCTGTGGGCTTGCATCTTGAGCTTAGCTTGGGGCAGAGCCCTGGGTCACTCAGATTGCTGGAGATACAGCTTTAGCACAGGAGTGGGTGCAGGCAGCAGGCGCTAGGGGTGGAGAATGGATTCCTGAGGCCCCCTAGGGGAGAGGTGCGGCCACTGAGATTGTGAGGAGGGGGCTAAGAAACAGTCCTGCCAGGCTGGAGGTAGGTGTGGGCATGTGCTCTGCCCACCGGCAGTTGAGGTCGAATGTTTACTTTGCATACAGGTTCCATGCCCCCCAGCCTGCCCTCCTCCCCAGAAATGTAGCTTTGAGTCTCCAAGAGCCCAGGCCTCCATCCCCTCTCCATCCTGCTAAACAAGGAGCTGGGCGGAGGGAGAAGTCAGGCCCCCTCAGTCCCCTCAGCTCCAGCCAAGGGCCAGTGGGAGGGGACTTCCCTGGCCCCTTCCTGGGTCTCCTCCGCCCAACGCTGCAGGCAGCTCCCTCCCCGGGAGGCCTCAGCAGCCTGCCCAGCATCTTAATTAGCTTTGCTGCCTAACAAGCCTCCTGCTTCCCAGGCCTCCCCCTTCCCAGCCTCTGGCTTGGTTTGGGGGCTCCTGTGTGTGGCCCCTTCGGCTTGGGGCTGAGGTCTGGGAGACCTTCCCTCCCCGTAGTAGCCACACCCCACCTTCTGAGGAAGATGCAGGGCCTGGGGGTGGAGCTGTGCAGAGCTGGGGCTGATGCTGCCAAGGCCAGGCTGTAGCCCCAGCCCTGGTGGGATGAGGGCAGGGAAAGGGCCTCTCTGATGTCACTCTAGTTCCTTCCTATCGTCCCCAGGGCAAATACAGCAAGAGGAAAGGGCGATTCAAACGCTCAGACGGGAGCACATCCTCAGATACCACATCCAACAGCTTTGTCCGCCAGGTAACGAGAGGCTGGGCCAGGAAAAAGGTGGCTGGCTGGTGGAGACATGCGTTGAGGAGCTGGCCTGCAGTGTTCTCCAAGCACCCTTTCCCATGTCATTTGTCATCTGCCTGCCTGGAGCCACCCCAACACCCTGACACCCTGAGACCTCTCCGGGATGTGCTGTCAGCTGCGCCCACTGCCTCAGCCCCTGCCCCCGCCAGCCCCTCCTCCTGCACCAGCCCCTGCTGCCTGCTGCCTGCCTGCCTGCCTGCCTGCCTGCGTCATCTCATTCAGGGACAGCCTGGCCTGCCTCCTTCTAGCTTGCTTCGGGCTGTCACCCACTCCCCCTGCCGGCTGTCTGCTTCCATGTCCTCCCCCGGAATCTGTGACAGGGTGGGGTGGAGGCAGGTGCTAGGAAATGAGCTGGGACATTTGGGTCCCTAGAGCCCTGGCCATGCATGGAGCAGGGACACATGCTCATCAGTTCCAGATGTGACTGTGTCACGTGCAGAGAGAAGGTGGGATTGGGGAGCCGGGGTAATTGTATTTTACAGGGGACTGGAGCCCAGCACCCCTGAGTTAGGCAGATATCAGAGTATAGCTTCCTGGGTCTCCTGTGCTCAGCCTCTGCCAGCCCCAAAGCTGTGTCCCCTGTGCTGTCCAACTCAACCTGGGCCATCTTAGGTTCAGGGAGAGGCAGTGAGGGAGACATGCAGTTACCATGGCTACGGAGCATCTCAACAAAGCCTGGTAACCAAAAAAGGCGAGAGGGGCTTGAGATCCGATTAGACAAGGAAGGAGGCAGGGCACACTAGGGCAGAGGATGGTGGGTGGGGGAGCCCCCTTGGGGCCAGGGGAGAGAGGGTAGAACCAGGTCACTCCCTGCCGACTAGGGGGAGGCCCTTTTTTGTGGGTTTTCTGTCTCTGCACTTGGCACTTGCGGGTCCAGGCCTGGCTTGGAGGGTCCAGGAAGCAAGGCTACATCCTAGCATCTTCTGAGGACACAGATAGGAAGTCCCTCCTCCCTCCCTCCCTTGTCCCTCCTGTTGCAGACCTGGGCTGGCCCCAGGGCTTAGAAGGAAGCTATGCTTTGTCTCCTGTTTGGGCAGAGCCCTCCCCTCCGATGCTTGGGTCTTGTAGTATTTGTTGAGCCAGGGCGTCAGACCCCAGCTTCCAATTCTCTTCCTCTCGGCTCCTAGCTCTGACCCCCAGTGGGTGGCGGGCGTGCGGGGGCCGCCCTTGCCACGTCTCCGAGCTAAATATACCCCAGCAGTTTGCACATGTAGCAACTCTGCTTGTAACCTGAGCCCCTGGGGGAACAGGCAGTTTGGGCCACCCCCTAGGCCAGCAGGCCTGGGCACCGAGGGCACCAGGATGGAGGTGCCCAGTCGGACCCTCGTGGTGGTGAGTGGGGACAGAGCGAGGCTGGGGGGGAAGGATAGCCACTCAGAAAAGCTGCTGGGAGATTTGTGCCAGCCCATCCCCTGGCCTCCTTCCTGTGCCCTGTCCCGCGCCATTGCTGGGCTGTGTATGCGTGTGCACATGTATGTGAATGTGTGCATGCAGGTATTAGTGCGCATGAGCCCCTCTGCCCCAGGTCTGTCTGTCTAGCCTCTCTGTGTGTCTGTCCCCAGACTGAGTGCTTCTGGCGGGGGGGAGACAGTAGGGCCTGGGCCGCTTTGCCTCCCCATGCATCTTTCTGGCTTCTGTTAGGGACCCCAGACCCCACCCACCCTTTTCCCCTGCCCCTCACATCTTCCCAATTTGACTGGGATAGGACTGGGCACCTGCACCGGCTCAAGAGACCAGAGGCTGCTAGGAAGAGGTGGTACTCTATTTTCTCACTTTCCTGGGTCCCCTCAGCACCAAACAGTGGCCATTCCCAGCCAGGTGACCCTCCATGTCCTGAAGAAAGGTCCCCCATGTCTCTGGCATCCTGCTCCTTCCCCACATTTCCTCTGACCTGTGCTGCCACCTCAGAAGTCTCACACACACACACACACACACACACACACACACACACACACACACGTACTTTCTGTACCCTGCACTCTTTGAGGCTCCCTCCCTCGGGGACGCGGATCTTTCTGGTTGTGCACAGCCGGCAGGGACTGAGGAACACCCCACACACACATGGAATTGCCATGTTGGTGACCTGGGCTCCATGCACCTCCAGTGTCCCACATGTGTGGACCCCGTGCCCAGGTTGGTCCAGGTGGTCCCTCCCAGCATCCTGCCACTGCAGGCTCCTGAGCTGCTCTTTCACAGGGCCCGGCAGCCCAGGTGTTGGGAGGAGGCTGTGGTATTCTGCCCCGCTTGCCGCTCCCACTCCTGCCCCCTACAACTCTTGGTTGTTTTTGTTTCATGCCAGCCCCAGGGTTGGCACTGAGTAGGGTGACCTGATTCTGGTGGCACCAGCCAGGGGGCAGGGAGGTAAGGGTCTTTCTTCCCACCCTCTGGCTCAGTCCCAGTCATGCCTCAATGTGTGGCTGTGGTCCCTGGGAGGGACGCCACTGCTCCCCGGGCTCCTGTGGACACTGGGGGCAGGGCAGGGCAAGGAAGGAGGAACAGGGCGCGAGATGCGGCCCCTGGCACTTCTCCCCTGTGCTGGGCCCTATCAGGTTCCCAACCCTCCCAGGGCCCCCAGCAGCTGTCCCTGGACCTGCCTTAACCTCTGGTTTGCTGCTGTCACCCATGTGAGGGCCACCCTCCTCCCATGGACCTGCAAACTTTGGTCCCTGGGCACTTTCTCCGCACAGCACCTCTTGCTAGGCCTCGTGCTGGGCTGGGTAGGGCAGCGGGGTGGGTGGCACCGGGAGCAGTGACCTCGGCCTGAGCCAGTGCTGTCTTCCAGGGCTCAGCGGAGTCCTATACCAGCCGCCCGTCGGACTCTGATGTATCTCTGGAGGAGGACCGAGAAGCCTTAAGGAAGGAGGCAGAGCGCCAGGCCTTGGCTCAGCTTGAGAAAGCTAAGGTGAGGAAGGCTCGGGAGCAGCTGGACGTGCCAGGCGGGTGTCCAGCAGGGCCCCTGGACCTCAGGGTGCCTGTGTCCTGCACCTGTGAGTCATGGGCTGGAAAACCTGCCTCCCTGGGTAGTAGGGGAAGGGCCTCACTGTCTGCACAAATCCCGGAAAACCTAAAGATGAGGTCGGGCGTGATGGCACATGCCTGTCACCCCAGCACTCAGGAGGCTGAGGCAGGAGGAGGATCACTGTAAGTTTGAGACCAGCCTGGGCTACAAGGTGAGCCAAGGCCAGCCTGAACTTCATAGGGAGAACCAAACTCCGGAGGCTGGAATCCCAGCAAGGGGTTTTCATGGCTGTGTGATGTTAGGCAAGTCACCTCACATCTGACTTGTAAGGGTTTTTTTTGTTTTTTTTGTTTTGGCAGAACCGGGGATTGAACTCAGGCCCTTGCGCTTGCCAAGGAAGTGCTTACTCCACTGAGCCATCTCCCCGACCCTATGTCTCTGACTTGTTTTTTTTTTTTTTTTAAATAGGCTTTATTTTTTTTAAAATTTTATTTATTTATTTATTGTGTGTGTGCACAGCTCAGCCCACCTAGGGGCGGGGCTGGCTGGCATGTGGTGCTGGGGGATCGAACCGTGGTCCCTGTGCTTTGCTAAGCTTGTTCTAAGTAGGTGCTTTAGACCACTGAGCCATCTCACCAGCCCCCGTCTCTGACTTGTAATGAGACTTACTCATTAAAAGGAAGGTAGCTCTTCTGGCCATGTTTTCGTGCCACCAAATGGGACACACGAGTGTTCTTGCTGATACTTGGGGGAGCCCAGCAGTGGGGAAGAAAGAGGGCAAGGAGGCTGTCCCTAGGCCATGGGCACCATCTGCTTTCTGACTGTAGGGCTGATGCGTGGACTCCTTGGCAAACTGGAAATCATTAATAATCACAGAGCCGGAAATTGCTCCGAACCCCCACAGTTGGATTCTACAAGTGCATAGTGGCCAAATCTGATGTGCAGACAGCTTGGTGGCACAAGGCTGCAATCTCATCTAATTGGGAGGCTGAGGCAGGAGGACCATTTGAGCTCAGGAATTTGAGGCCAGCCTAGTCAACACAATGAAACTCTGTCTCAAACATAACAAATGGAAGGGCCGGGGAGATGGCTCAGTGGAATAAGTGCTTCCCTGGCAAGTGCAAGGACCTAAGTTCAATCCCTGGTTCCACCAAAAAAGTTTCTTAAAAAAGAAAAAAAAAAAAAAAGGAAGAAAAAGAAAAGTGAAGCTAGGCATGCTGGGGTGCACCTACAAGGCCAGTGCTTGGAAGGCTGAGGCAGGAGGACTTCCAGGAAGTAGTTCTAGGCCAGCCTAAACTAAATAGTGAGACCCTGTCTAAAAAACCCAAAAGAATGAACAAGAGAGAGAAACGCAGACTATTCTGCTGCCAGGCCAAGTTGAGTTGTGTAGTACTTACAGCCTTAGCTGGCGGTTGGCTTCCCGAGTCGCAGAGCAGCAAGATGAACACACACAGAAGGGCAAACTCTGGGATTTATTTTTTGGGGCTAGAACAAATGCACGAACACTGTTCAGAAGCCAAATGCAGTGGTTCTCCCTGTAATCCTATTTAGGAAGCTGGAGCAAGGACACTGCAGGTCAGACCAGCCTGGGCAACGTGTCTCAAAATGAAAAGCGCTGGGGATGGAGCTCAGCACTCTGGGGCCTACACCCAGCACCAAGAATAGAGTAAATAAATGAAAATAAGTTTTAAAAAATACAACAAGGTGACAAATGTAAGAGCCCTCACACTAAGGGGCTTTTTGTGATAAGCAAATCAGCGAACACAGGGGAAACCTGTAAGGTTATGCCAGCACAGGGGACAGCCGCTGCCTTCATTGAGACTGTCCCTGTTGAGTGTCACTCTGGCCACTTCTGCCAATACTCATGATTCCATGGTGCCCTTCTCCACCCCAGAGGACTAAATGCCAGTTTGCTTTTTGTTTGTTTGTTTGGTTTTTGGTGGTACCTGGGATCGAACTCAGGACCTTGCGCTTGCCAGGCAAGCACTTATTCCTCTGAGCTATCTCCCTGGGCCCTTAATTTTGCTTTTTTTTATTGCTAAAAGTTAGTGTGTGGAAAACCACACGAGCCTCTCAGCATGCACTGCGGTGCAGACCTGCAAACCACACAGTGCAGAATGCCCACCCATGGTTTCACCCTCCGGCGTTCCTGTCCTCCCCCCACCTCAGACTAAGCCGGTGGCATTTGCTGTGCGGACGAACGTGGGCTACAATCCTTCCCCAGGAGACGAGGTGCCTGTGCAGGGGGTGGCCATTACCTTCGAGCCCAAGGACTTCCTGCACATCAAGGAGGTGGGCTGTTGGTGTGAGGCGGGCTGAGGGTGGGTGAGGGAGTGGTGGTGCGGAGGTCACCAGGCAGGCCTGAGGGCTAGTGGTGACTTCAGTGACACTTCCAGGCACACTTAGGTGTTCACACTCGCCCTCACTGCCTGGCTCTAGGGGGGTGGGCGCCCGGGAGGAGGACAGCTCCTCGCCTGGCCAAATGCCTGGCCGAAAGTGATGCTGCTGGTCTTACCCACCTTAGCGCGCCCTGTCCTCCCCGTCACCTGTAGAAATACAATAACGACTGGTGGATCGGGCGGCTGGTGAAGGAGGGCTGCGAGGTGGGCTTCATTCCGAGCCCCGTCAAACTGGACAGCCTGAGGCTGCTGCAGGAGCAGAAGCTGCGCCAGAACCGCCTCAGCTCCAGGTGCCTGGGCTCCCGGCTCAGGGGGCATAGAGCGCTCCGTGTACCCCTGGGGGAGTGGGGGCTTGGCACGCTGGCAGCATAGGATGCCTACGCCTGCAGCACCCTCTCTCTCTCACCGGCTCCACTTGCCTCCCTGCCCACACAGCAAATCAGGTGACAACTCGAGTTCCAGTCTGGGAGACGTGGTGACTGGCACCCGCCGCCCCACACCCCCTGCCAGTGGTAAGAGCGGCTGCCAACCCCGGGGGTGGGGCAGGGGTAGGGCCCCTCGGTGGGGTGGTGTCCCCCCATGGCCTGACCTCCATCTCCTGCAGGAAGAGGCACCCCAACTCTGGGCCCCCAAACACACTCAGTGGTGAAGGCTAGGATGCCCCATGTTAGGCCTGTCGTGTCTCTCCTGTCCCCCCTCTCCAGTAGCTCCATCTCTCTGCCTCCCACCCCTCCCCACCCCTTCATTTCTCCAGTCCTGTTCCATTTACCTCTTCTTCTTTCTCTCCCCCACCCTGCGCCTGTGTTCTGTTCTGTGTCTCCGTCCATCTCATCCTCTTCCCCGTCCTCCTCCCTGACTCCTGCTCGGTCCAGGTAATGAGATGACTAGCTTAGCCTTTGAACTAGACCCCCTAGAGTTAGAGGAGGATGGGGCAGAGCTGGAGGAGCAGAGCGGCTCTGCCAAGACTAGCGTTAGCAGTGTCACCACCCCGCCACCCCACGGCAAGCGCATCCCCTTCTTTAAGAAGGTAATTTCTGCTGTGGGGGTCAGGGTGCAGCTGTGGTGGGGCTTGGGGCTGGAACGGCCCTGATGAGGTCCCTGCCCCTCTTGCCAGTCAAGGGAGGGAGGGATGGAGGGAGGGAAGGGACAGGGCTGCCTCCTGCCTCGGAAGGGTGCCCCCATGCAGGTTGTGGTAAAGCACCCTGACCGCTGCCCTCACTCCCAGTGGAATGGAAGGTGCCAGTGTGTGCCCCCCCTCTGGGCGTGAAGAGGGGAAAAGGCCATCTCTCCTTCACCATCCCCAGCTCCATGGGTGGGCACATGGGTGGCCTGGAGCCAGATGGTCAAGGGAGCCCTTGACAGTGGCCAGTTCGATATGAACCGGGCAGGAGGTGGGCATGAAAGGAGGGGCTGCCACTTTCTCCACTTCCTTTCCAAGACCTGGAGGGGGCCTATTCCCAAGTCACTTGACTGCTACCAGTCCTGCATCCAACCCTGAGCCAGGGCCACCGCTGGCTGCCCTTGGCATGGGGTCCTGGCCCCCCCTCTGCTGTCTGTCACTAACACGCATGCCCTGTTATCTCTCTCGTCTGCCCACTCCCCGCCCTCTTGGCCTGGCTCCCTCCATGCCCTCTGCCCTGCCTGGGTACCTCCCTTCCCCCCCCCCTTTCCTCTCCTGGCAATCTCGGGACCCAGCCAAACAGAAGCAGAAGTCGGTGAGTGTCATAGCTTTCTGTGTCCCCTCCCTACCCCTGGGGTGAGCCGCTAACACCAACACCCCACCTTTCCTGGCCCTCCCCTCCCCACCCTCCCCTGATCCTCACCTCTGGGTTCTGGGGTGGGAAGCTGCCTGGGGAGACTGGAGAGGTGCTGATGGCACCCCCACTCTGGGGTCTCCCCTCCCTGCTTCCCTCAGACAGAGCACGTGCCCCCCTATGACGTGGTGCCTTCCATGAGGCCCATCATCCTGGTGGGACCGTCGCTCAAGGGCTATGAGGTAGGAGCTCTACAGGGAAATGGACCACAGAGACCCAGACTCCAGAGGCCGTAGGACGAGCTTCAGGCTGCAGAGGAGTCCTCAGAGCGGCCCAGACCCCAGGGTTCCTGGAAAAGCCCCAGAGAGGACTCTTGGGGCCCCAACCCTTAGGCACCCCCTTGGAAGGGCCCCAGTCCCCCCTAAATCCTTAAAGAGCACTTGCAGAGATCCCACATAGAGGACCCTTGGAGTCCCGTCCTCAGGACCTTCGTCCCAGAGATCTCAAAGGAGAGTGACAGGGAGGGGTCAGATGGCAGCAGCTCTGCCTGTTGGACTGCTGGAAATGCCTGACTGCCCCCCGCCCTGCCAACCCCACCCAGGTCACAGACATGATGCAGAAAGCACTGTTTGACTTCCTGAAGCATCGCTTTGATGGCAGGTAAGACCCCGGGGACACATCTATAGCTTGGGAAGGACAAGGTGTCTTGAAGGCGGAGCCTGGGGCCCACGGTGACCCCTGACCACTCCTCTGTGTGGTCCCCAGGATCTCCATCACCCGGGTGACGGCTGACATCTCCCTGGCCAAGCGCTCTGTCCTCAACAACCCCAGCAAGCATGTCATCATCGAGCGCTCCAACGCGCGCTCCAGCCTGGGTGAGCGGCGCGCACTCTTCCTTCCCACTTCTGCCCTGGGGTGGGTGGCAGTGCTACCCCATGCCCCGTGCCTCACCTTCCCCTCCCCTGGGCTGCGCAACTCCAGCTGAGGTGCAGAGTGAGATTGAGCGGATCTTTGAGCTGGCCCGGACGCTGCAGCTGGTTGCCCTGGACGCCGACACCATCAACCACCCGGCGCAGCTCTCTAAGACCTCGCTGGCGCCCATCGTTGTTTACATCAAGATCACCTCCCCCAAGGTGGGCACGGGCCCCAGGCAGCAGCCTGGCTCGGAGGCGCGCTCCGAGCTTGGGCTGCCCCAGTGCACCCTGCTCTTGCTGACTGAGTAACTCCATGTCCCTGTGAGGCAGTTTCCCTCTCTGTGCATATTGGGACCACGAGGACAGCCTGGTGGGAGGGCTAGCACCTAGGCAAGGGTCGGCTGCCATCGACCTCCTTGTGCACCGGTTATTGTTATTGTTTTGGTTTTTTGAGACAGGGTCTTGCTGTATAGCCCAGACTGGCCTCAGGGTTGGGCTGAGCCCCCTGCCTCAGCCTCCCAAGTGCTGGGAGCACAAGAGTGAGCACAGTACCTGGCTAAGAACTCTGTGCTTTTTGTTCCCGTGGCACCCAGCTCCTCAGCACTCGGGAGGTTTTCAGCCTTCTGGTACCGGCTCACATTTTGCCGTATTGCCCTCACTTGAACTTTGGGTTTTTTTGGTTATTTATTTATTCATTGGTATGTGAATTGAACCCAGGACCTCATGGGTGCTAGACAAGAGCTCTAGCACTCAGGAGGCCGATCCCCTGTCCTTCCATTTTTTTTCTTTTGAGTCAGGGTGTTGTTGTCAAGCTGCCCAGGCTGGCCTTGTTCTTGCACTTGCCAGTGCCTCAGCCTCAGGAGTAGTAGCTGGGGTTACAGGCCTGTGGCAGCGCGCCTGGCCTCGCTGGCACCTTCCTGGAGGGGCTGCGGGGCGGCAGGCTGAGTGCATCACTGTCACATCGTGGCCCCATGAGCTTCCCCTCGGGGTGTTAGTGGAGACCTGGAGAATGAGGAGGAAGCATTCAGGAGGAGGGAGAGAGCACAGAGCTAATTCCTGCCCTGTCTCGCTTACATATTTATGTATCATTGTCAGTGGTTCGTCGTTGCTCTTGATTTTTGGATTGGGGGAATTTGGAGTCCAAGTCTCGCTTTATCCACCTACAGAAAGAGGGCACAATACCTCTAGTGTTATCACTGTTGTTACTGTTTTGGATGCTGAGGATGGGACTCAGGGCCTTGGGTGTACCAAGCATGTGCTTTACCCCCAAGCTGCATGCCCAGCCTCTGGGCGGCAGGGAGCAGGGTCTCGCTATGTAGTCCAGGCCGGCCGCAAACTCACGGTGATCCTCCTGCCTCACGCTCCGGAGAGCTGGGGTTACAGACATGCACCACCACACCCGCCTTTCTTATATCATTTTTGAGAGGTTGGAGGGAAGGACATGCAGGATCCCGACTGATTCAGATGCCAGCCAGCAGTGGGAGCTGTCACCATTCCCTGGTAGCTTCCTAGGAGCTGAGCACCCTAGGCCAGCTCCTTAACCTCTCAGAGTTCTCCCTTTCTGAAGAACTAAAAGGGCTGGTAAGATTTAAGTGCTCAGAGGTGGGAGGTTAAAAGGATCAGAGGAGATAATGGACACAGAAACACTTCCTGACCTGGAAAGTAACCAATGCTTTCCCTGCTGGGGTTGAGGACGCCCCGCGCTGTCATTGACCAGCACTGTGCTCCTTTGGCAAGGCAAATGCCAAGGGCCTCAGGGCCGTTTCTTCATCTGTAGCACAGTCATGCCCAGGTGAACACACAGATCAATCATGCAGAATGCCTGGAACCCACTAAGCACTGTGTTGCTTTTATTATTTAAAAATCCTGCGTGCTTCCTTAGCACGTGCAAGGTCCTGCACTCCACCCCCAGTACCACACACACACACACACACACACACACACACACACACACGTGTGAAATGCAGTTCATAATCTCCTTCCCCTGATTGCTCCAGTAGTGCCCCTTCTGTGCCAGACACCAGTGTGGCACACATCTGTGATCCCAGCCACTCGGGGCTGAGCCAGGAGAATCGCACATTCCAGTCCAGCCTGGAAACTTTGCAAGCCCCTGTCTCAAAATAAAATATATGTGAAAAAAAGGGGCTGGGGATGTAGCTCAGCGTTCCCTTGGTTCAATCCCAGAAAGAAAGAAAGAAAGAAAGAAAGAAAGAAAGAAAGAAAGAAAGAAAAAAGAGAGAAAGAGAGAAAGAGAGAAAGAAAGAGAGAAAGAGAGAAAGAGAGAGAGAAAGAGAGAAAGAAAAGAAAGAGATAGATGATTGTGTGTGTTTGTTTTTGGTGGTACCAGGATTGAACTCAGTACTTTGTGCTTGCCAGGCGAGCACTTATTCCACTGAGCTATATCACCCTGGCGAAAGAAAGGGAAGGAAAGAAGGAAGAGAAAAAAGCCACTATGATATTTTCCTTAACTCAGGACTCAACCTAGGGGCTCAAATAATCCATTGAGTTGTTGTATCTCAGTTCGCTTTCATATGGAGCAGTTCTTCAACTGGATTTTCATCACACTATTATTTTATTTTATATTTATTTATTTATTTATTTTGGCGGAACTGGGGATTGAACTCAGGCCCTTGTGCTTGCCAGGGAAGCACTTATTCTACTGAGCCATCTCCCTGGCCCCACACTAATATTTTATTTTTATTTTTATTTTTTATTTTTGGCGGAACTGGGGATTGAACTCAGGCCCTTGTGCTTGCCAGGGAAGCACTTATTCTACTGAGCCATCTCCCTGGCCCCACACTAATATTTTATTTTTATTTTTATTTTTTATTTTTGGCGGAACTGGGGATTGAACTCAGGTCCTTGCGCTTGCCAGGGAAGTGCTTATTTCACTGAGCCATCTCCCCAGCCCCTTTATTTTTTTTTTTAAACATTTATTTTGTGTTTGTGTGTGTGTGACCAGCTCAGCCCACCAGGGGGCGGAGCTGGCTGGCATGTGGTGCTGGGGGATTAAACCGCAGTCCCTGTGCTTTGCTAAGCTTGTTCTAAGTAGGTGCTTTAGACCACTGAGCCATCTCACCAGCCCCACACTAATATTTTCGACAAGTACAGATCAGATTTGAGTCAGGGTCTCACTATGTAGTTCAGGCACCTCCTGCCTCAGCCTCCCAAGTGCTGGGATTGCAGGTCACACCCAGCTTAATCAGCTGTTGTAGGCTGTCCCTCTGTCTGGGCTTGTGTGATGTTTCCTTATGACTTAGGTTTTGGTTTTTCTTTTTTTTTTTTTTTTTTTTTTAATTTTATTTATTTGTGTGTGTGTGTGGCCAGCTCAGCCCACAAGCGGGTGGGGCTGGCTGGCATGTGGTGCTGGGGGGGATTGAACCGTGGTCTCTGATGCTTTGCTAAGCTTGTTCTAAGTAGGTGCTTTAGACCACTGAGCCATCTCACCAGCCCCCAGGTTTTGGTTTTTTCATTTGTGTATATGGTACAGGGTCTCACTAAGCAGATTGGACTTGTGGTGATCCTCCTGTTTTCAGTCTCCCCAGCCCTGGGATTTTTTTTATTATTATTTTTAATTTTATTGAGAAACAAATATGAATGAGACAGTTTCAAAGCTGATTAATAGGACAGTTTCGATAATCAATACATTATACATTGTTATCTTCTTAGTGGTTAGCCATAGTACAAGAAGCAGACAGGATATCCTGTCCAAACACTATTAGTACACCTCTTTCTTATCATTGAATTAAGTGAAAGTAGCTGTATATCTATCCTATTTTGTATATCCAGCACTGGGAATACAGGCATGTGCCACCATACCCGGACTCTGTTGCTGGCTCAACGCGCCCCGGGAGCGGGGCTGGCATGCATATGGGACCGGGGATCGAGCTCTGGTCCCTGCACTTGCCAAAGCAGGCACTTTGTCCACTGAGCTATCTTGTCAGCCCTAGCTTTAGGTTTTGGATATTATTATTATTTTGTGTGTGTGTGTGTGTGGAACTGGGAATTGAACTCAGGCCCTTGCAGTTGCCAGGGAAGCGCTTATTCCACTGAGCCATCTTCCCGGCCCCGGTTTTGGATATTATTATGTTATTATTATTGCAGTAATAATAGTTATCTAATCAGGCTATTGATCACAGAGGAGCCAGATGGGGTGGCACACATCTGTAATCCCAGCAGCCTGGGATGCCAAGGCGGGAGGGTTGCTGCAGCCCAGCACCTGGGCAACATAGTGAGACATCTGTTCAGAAGAACACCAGCAGGTGCCCATCAGGGGAGACCGTGGTTGTGAGCCTGAGTTTGGGGTGAGATGACCCTGGAATGAACCCGAACCTACCTTTCTGCCCAGGTGCGCTGCCTGGGTCCCCCAGCGCCTCCTCCTCTCCCTACACCAGGTCCTACAGAGACTCATCAAATCCCGCGGGAAGTCTCAGTCTAAACACCTCAACGTCCAGATAGCTGCCTCAGAGAAGCTGGCCCAGTGTCCCCCAGTGAGTGCCCAAGTCTGGGGTCCAGTGAGGGGAGAGCATGTGGGGTCTCCTGGCTTCTTCTGGTCTGAGTGGGTGACAGTAACCAAGAATCCCTGGGCCTGGCTTGCTGGTAAAGTTTGGGCTTTGGGAAAAGAGGGCGGGGCAGGCAGAGTGGGCTCCGGCACCCCTTCTCCTGGGGAGCCAAGCCCCACTCCCTGACTGGGTTGCCTTGTGTTTAGGAGGGAGGTGAGCTGAGAAGGACTCTCAGGCCACTTGCAGTGCATTGGCAGCTCTGAACGTCCTCCTTCCCTTCCTCAATATCAGAGGCCGCTTTATAACTTTGTCCTTCAACCCCTTGGCTCCACCCACTGCACCCAGGCCACACCTTCAACCCTCGGCCACGCCCCTCGCTCATCCCAGCCCCGCCCCTAACCCCATCCTCCACAGGAAATGTTTGACATCATCCTGGACGAGAACCAATTGGAGGACGCCTGTGAGCACCTAGCCGAGTACTTGGAAGCCTATTGGAAGGCTACTCACCCGCCCAGCAGCACGCCGCCCAATCCACTGCTGAACCGCACCATGGCTACGGCCGCCCTGGCTGCGAGCCCCGCCCCCGTCTCCAACCTCCAGGTACAAGTGCTCACCTCGCTCAGGAGGAACCTCAGCTTCTGGGGCGGGCTGGAGGCCTCGCAGCGGGGCGGTTCTGTGCCCCAGCAGCAGGAGCACGCCATGTAGCAGGTGTCCCGCTGTGTTCCCTTCCTCCGACCTGGAGTGCAGGAACGTGAGGGAAGAAAGGGAAGAGCTTTATTTTGTAAAAAACGTGGTGAGCGGCAGTTTCCTTCCGGTGTCTGGTTTTTGGTGGGACTGGGACTGGCTGGTGCTGCCTCCCTGGGCCTGGGGCTGTAGGACTCCTGTTGGCTGGGAGGCCTGACAAGGCCCTCGTAAGAACAGCGACTGCGAAGCAAATAAAACATGAGGACCACTTCACCACTGGACTCCACAGAGCCGAGGCACTCAGACACGGGAACCAGAGAGCAGGGACATCCGGTTCAGACTGTCCCCTCCCTGCTCCTTTCTCCCAGCAAGGAGCATCTATCTATGAGTTGCTGCCCGCCTTCCTCCGTTCTTCCAGTCACATAGTCCAGGAAAGGCCCTGCTGGGGTGCCCCATCCAGCCTCACCCTTTTCCCAAGGGAAACCGCGGCCCATCCCTGGAACCACACCATTAAGTACACGGAGCCGCCAGAAATCCAGCAAGGCACTGAGGATTGCTGCTTTAGATGTTGTTTTCAGCACCACTTGTTCAGTGAATCTCTGGCTAAGGCACCCCTGCTTTGGTTGGAGAGAGCCGGGGCTCAGCCTCCCCTTGATCTCCTCAGGGACCCCAGGAGCACTTCTGTGCCCTCTCATCCCACCCCTGATCCGCAGGAACAGTTTGCAAACCGCTGCATCACACTACTACTGAGAAACTGGAGCATGTTGACTCAGGGCCTCACAGCTAGAGTGGCAGAGGCAGGCTAGGACAGGTGGACCCCACCTGGCATCCTTTGTGCTGGCAGCTCACTTTCATGTAGCCTTAGTGACAACACTGGGCTGCCTCATGGCTGGGGGGCTGACGAACACCATCACCCTACATAACTGGGTGAGGAGCAGCTTGTGTGGGTCCCCAAAAGTCTGTGACTCGTGTGGCTGGAGAAGCTGGGGTTGGGGGCTTTGAGCTGCTGTCTCTTCATGTGCTTAGAACATGAGTCCCTGACTAACCCTGCAGCAGTGATGATGAGCTCTTAATGGTGCTTAAGCCTAAGGCAGCCTCCATAACAGGCATTGCGCAAGTGCTGACTGATGATGGCTCAGGGCTCCCTGCCATCCTTACCAGAGGGCTCTGATGTCTGTGTGGGGCACCCTGACCCTAACAGAAGAGCAGATGCCCTGAGGCCCTGCCTCCGGCTTGGCCAGTCCAGGGTGCTCCTTCCTCTTGCTGATGGATGGATGGACTGTTGGACTGATGGATGAGGGGTCGTGGTGCTGTCACTAACCTGCCTTGCTTTGTTGTGTTTTTCTCACCCCTGCCTCCTCTGCATGGCGTCTGCTGTCCGTTCGTCCGTCTGCTAACCAGGGACCCTACCTTGCTTCCGGGGACCAGCCGCTGGAGCGGGCCACCGGGGAGCATGCCAGCGTGCGCGAGTACCCAGGGGAACCGGGCCAGCCCCCCGGCCGCCACCCCCCAGGCAGGGCGGGCACCGTCCGAGCGTTGTCCCGCCAAGACACCTTTGATGCTGAGACCCCTGGCAGCCGAAACTCGGCCTACACGGAGCCAGGAGACTCCTGTGTGGACATGGAGACAGACCCCTCGGAGGGCCCGGGGCCCGGGGACCCCGTGGGGGGCGGCACCCCACCTGTGCACCAGGGCTCCTGGGAGGAGGAGGAGGAGGACTATGCGGAGGACCTGCCTGACAACCGGGGCCGAGCTGGGAGCAAGGCCCGCTACTGCGCCGAGGGTGGGGGCCCAGTCCTGGGACGCAACAAGAACGAGCTGGAAAGCTGGGGCCGGGGTGTCTACATCCGCTGAGTGGAGGCACACGGAAAGGAGGGAGGGATGGATGGGGTACTTACTCCCGGTGGGCTTCGCCTCCAGGGGCTGCAGTCGATCGCCCACTTTCAGATGCCTTTCTTCGGTGTTGGAGTTTTTAGGGATACTTGCCTGGCTCCTGGGCGGCTCTTAAGCCGCAGCCGTGGAGTTTCCTTACCTGCTGAGGATGAATGGGGATACCCTCCTTTTCGAAGTGTCCCCCATTTCCCTACTCCCCCCTCAACCCCCACCCAGAGAAAAGGTGCACTTCTCTTTCTACTCTGGGCTGTTAGGTGAAGGTCCCAGCCAGTTGGGGTGGCCCTGCCTTCCCAACCGGGGTCAGACACCTTTCCTGGAGAGAGCGGCCACAGACTCATCCTCAGACCCAGACCTGCCCCTCCCGCTTCCTGGGCAGCATTGCTCTGTGCGTGAAACCTGTAGCTTGGGAAGGGGGGAGGGGCTGGGAAGCATCCTGGGTGGTGCCCGCCTAGGATGCGGGGTGTGCCCTCCCTGGTGGGCGCGGTACCCAGGCCTGGCAGCTGAGTAGAGCGGCCAGAAATGCTGTCCCCCTCCCCACCTTTGCCTCAGCCTCGCCCACCCAGGAATGAGCTTTGCCTCCAACCTCCCGCCTGCTGCCATCTGACCAGGGGGGCCCTCTGCATCTGAGCCCCCCCATCTCCATGCCACATGGGTGTGGAGACCTCATTCTAAACCAAAAAACCAGTCCTTCATCTTCACCCCGAGGCCCCAGGGATGGTTTGGTGCCCAAGAGGTGACCCCACCGGGGGTTGTCCAGGGACCTTGCATCTCCCTGGGGAGCTTGGCTGCTGCTGCTTCTCTGTGTTTGCCTCTTGTACTCCTGTCTGCTCCTGTGCCCACTTCCCCCAGGAGAGGCCTTGGCAGCCCCGGGCCCCTAGGGTGCCATTGGCCTTAGTGTCTCCAGAGGCCAGCAGCCCTGCCCCTCCCCAGCACCCCAGCTGGGCCAGAGAGAGCCGATTGTGCCAACGAGGACTGGGCCCTGCCCGGCTGCCCACCTCAGGGATAGGTGCCTCACGCCTGTCCCGCCACCTCCTGTGCCAATGTTGCCCCACCCCTTTGGGGCGGGGTGCACCTTCCACTTCCTGTTTAGAAGACCCACCACCACCCAGTCCCCGCCTGGCCCCATGTGGTGTCCTGTGATCCCTCTGTCTTTTTGTCTGTACTCCACCAGAAGTATTTTGCCACATATAAAACCGCCATCCTGTCCTTCGCGGCCACCTCATGAGCCTGCTTGCGTCTTTGTTCTCCACACACAGTTGTCAGCCCAGCAGCCTCTACCCAGAGGGCTGCCCACCCTCTGTGGGAGCCAGGGGAGGAGCAGGAAGAATTGTTGCCCGGCACCTGCTGCTCTTCGCACACGCCCACACCTCCCAGCAGAGCTGGGGCAATGCTAGTTAGGTTGCTGAACTGTGTGCCGCCGCGGCTCACGCGTGCAAGGACCGAGGTCTCCAGAGCTCGCTGCTCCTCTGGCCTCACCACCCTTGGCCTCTGCTGCACAGCATCACGGGGTGGGGGCAGGGCCACTCAGGGACCCTTCTGGCCCCACCTGAAAGATGTGAGATGAAAGCTGGTGAGGGCACAATTGCCATCACCACCCGGCCGGATGTGGGCCCTCCTCCAGCCCCGCAGAGCACCCACAAGCTTACCCGACCGCCCAGTTCTTTTTTCTGAGCGGACTCCAGTGCCTGGGACCTCTGCCTAAGTGCGCCTGCAGGGCGGCAGGAAGGGAAAGAGGAAGAAAGGAGATGCCTGGCACTTGCAGGTGAGGAATTAGATCTAAAGGTGTGGTGTGCACACCTGTCGCCCCAGCACTCTGGAGGCTGAGGCAAGGATCATCCCAACATGAGCTGCATAGAGACCCTGTCTTAGAAAAAACAAAACAAAGACAGACTAACGAGGAACAGGGCAGGCTGGGAGGAAGGGTGACAGGAGCTTCCTGGGGAGGTGCTGAGAAGGTGGCCAGAACGGAGTTTCCCCCTTCCCGTGCACCTTCGTGGAGTGTCATGTACCCTGGGCTTACTCACTGAGCAAGCACCTCTTAGGCACCACCTGCATGCCAGGTGCAAGTGAACCTGGCGGCTAGTTAATTTCAGTGAGGCCCACTGAGCTCACTGGACCGGGCAGCCTGAGAGGGCACCTCGTGGTTCTTGGGAGGGCCCTGGAGGCTTCCTGGAGCAGGCAAGTTTTGCCCAGAGCTTAAAAACACAGTTACAGGGTACGGTGGGCAGATCAGGGCAGAAATCTGTGGAGGGCAGAGTGTTGTCATGGTGAAGATCAGTGGGGCACTAGCAGGAGCAGGTCACACTGGACCTCAACTCATGTTCAGGACTTTGGCTTGTCATGGGAAGCCGGCGTGCAAAAACTGAGAAGCCAGGTATGGTAGCAACACACCTGTACTTGCAGCACTTGGGAGGCTGAGGCAGAAAGATCTCTGTGAGTCTGAGGCCAGCCTGAGCTACATAGTAAGTTCAAAGACAGAGTAAGCTACCTGGCAAGACTGTTTTTGCTTTAAAAAAAAAAAAAAAAAAAAACTGGCACAATGACCTGTAATCTCAGCACTCAGGAGGTGGAGGCAGGAGTAGAGTACAGCTGTGAGTTAAAGGCCAGCCACCCTGTCTGAAAAAAACAAGCACACAGGGCTGGGGAGATGGCTCAGTGGAGTAAGTGCTTCTCAGGCAAGTGCTAAGGGCCTGAGTTCAATCCCCGGTTCTGCCAAAAAAGAAAAAAAGCTTAGTGCTTGTTCTGGAGCTCTGAAGTGAGGACTGGCGTTTTGAATTGAGGGAAAGGATTATTCTCTTAGCTGTGCTTCACAGATGAAGCTCAGAGAGGTTGGACTTGGCCCACAGTCACACAGCCACAGAGAAAAGGGCTTAAGTTGTATTTGGACACAGGTCTTGGGTTCGTGCCAAGCTCAGAGCTCCTTCCTCTGCCCTCAACCCTGGCTTTGTGGAGGGTGGGGATGGGGAGGAGGAAACAGGTGTCTGGAGAGGTTGTGCCTCCTCGGGGAGTCTGCCTGCACCTCCACTGGCCCAGACCTGGCTGGCAGGTGGGGGCAGTTCTGGCTGTGCAGACGCTGGAGCAGGAGGGCTGTTTCTTGGTAACCACAGCCCTTGGCAGGCTGTGGCTGCCCAGTCAGCAGGCTGGCGTCTGTTACGAGGATTTCAAGTACTGTGACATCAGCTGGCCTGGCCATGCAGTGGCCCCTCACAACCCCTTCCACCTGTTCCCCTCCCTTTGTCTGCCTTCCAGACAGCTGCTTCCGCAGTTCCCTGATGGGTTCTGCCGCAGGTGAGCGGTGGTTGGAAGCCAGAACGGCCGGTGGCCTTTGGTCCTACGGGTGACCTAAGGCTGTCTTCAGATACAGTGAGCTGAGCAAAGCCTGTTGGAGAACCCACTTGCAGAGCCCAGTGAGCGGCTCCACCCCAGCCCTGGGGAGAGAGCCGGCTGGGGCACAGAGGGCACGGGAGAGGCAGTGCTGAGACACCTCTACCTCTGTTCCAGGGGAGAAAGGGACCCCTCTCCCTCCCTTCCCTCTTTCCAGCCCTTCCTTCCCTTCTTCTGTCCTTCCTTTCTTCCTTCCTTCCCAGGGTCTCACTATATAGTGCAGGCTGGCTTTCCTATTAGTACAAGTTGACAATCTTCCTGCCTCAGCTTCCCAAGTGCTAGGCATGCACCCTAGTGGCACGTACCACTTCTCAGGCTGTACTGTGCTCCTTCCAGCTCAGTCCAGCAGTGAACATCCTAACAGAGTGCCAGGCGGGGAGGGATGGGTGCACAAGGCTGGAATTCCGCGGCTAGCACTGGTGGTTGAGGGAAGGAACCTGGCCTGTCTCCAGTCCCAGTGTGGACAGAGACCTGGTGAGTCTGGAGAGCCCGGCTGGGGCTGGGCAAGCAGTGATTTCATGGCCAAGGGTGAAGGGTCAGAGCTTCTCTCTGTGAGCAGGAAGCTCAAGGGTGACCACAGAGACCTTGAACACCGGCCGAGTCAGAAGCTTGGACTGAACCATCACAGGCTGGTGAGCTGGGCTTTAGGAGCCTTAGCAGAGCTGAGAGGAAGGTGAGCCCACCATGGGTTCTGGGGAGAAGAAGGCAGACGGACCGTGGGGCGGGGGACAGCCAAGATGGTGGAAGCCAGCGAACCATGGTTGCCATGGTAACCAGGTCTCTTTCTACACCCCCACCCCCCCAGCAGCCTGAGTTCCCGGCCTTGCCTGCTTCTCTTTGTTTTCTACATTTTCCTACTGAGCACGAAGAAGGAAATTCACAGCAGCAAGAATCTCCCACTCTCTCCCATCTGCCTCTGGGGCCCAGTGTTCTCTGCTCTTGCCTGTGGTCCGTTACTTCAGGGGCTGAGGCAAGAAGACCACTTGAACCCGGAGCTCAGGGCCAGCCTGGGGAACACAGCGAGATCCTGTCTCTAGAAAATAAAAACCAAGCCAGGCATGGTGGCATATGTCTATAATCCCAGCTCCCGGGGAGGGTGAGGCAGGAGGATTACCACAAATTTGAGGCCAGCCTGGATTACACAATGAGACCCTGTTTCAAGAAAACAAAAATAAATACAGGCAGGACATGGTGGCTGGCATCTGTAATCCCAGCACTCAAGACGCTGAGGCAGGAAGATCACGCGAATTTGAGACCAGCCTGGGCTACAAAGTGAGCTCAAGTCTCTCCTGAACTGCATAACACCACTGTCTCAAAAAGACAAAAATAAATAAATACAAAGAGGTGAGACAGGTGAGAGCCTGTCCCTCCTCCGGGAAACCATTTTGAGTGGGCCCACAAGCCCCTACTAGGGAGAAATGCCTCCACTTTGAGTGCAAGGTGAGTTTTGTCCAGGCTGGGCGAAGCAGAGCAGGGCTCCGGTCAACGCATGAGTGCTTAGCCTCTCTTGACCCGCAACCCCGGGGCAGAACACCTTGAGACTCCCGAATTTTCTCAGGGCCAGGAGGAGGGTTTGGACCCCAGGTCTCGCGTACCCTCAGGGCTCCTCCTCACAGTGCTGTTCCTAGCACCGCAGGGAGTTCCCAGGTGGCGCTGGTGACCCTAGGGTTCCCGGTGTCCTGGGCTGTCCCTTCTGGGATGGGACTTGGAGCCCTCGACCGACTCTGGTCCCCTGGGAGCTGAATCTTACACGGATCCTGGGAACCTTTAAGGAGGGTTTTTGGGAATCAGGCTGAGGGGCGCAAAGGGCGTCTCGGGGCGCCCTCGCTGAGGTCGTCCGGGTCCCTGCGCCTGCGTTCGCCAGCTCGTCTTCCCGGCTGCAGGATCACAGCGCCGGAAACCCGCTTGTGGTCACTCGGCAAAGGGGATTCTGCTCGGAGCCGCGCAGGTGTCCGGAAAGGCGAGACACAGGAGGGTTGGGGTGCGCGGGGTCCCCGGGAACATAGGTCCCCTGGGCCAGAGACCCTGGCCATCGGGTGCCGCCCTGACTTTGCCCTTCTGGGATCCAGAGCTCAAGGTCGTCATCGCGGGAAGGGACCACGCAGGGAGCCACGACCTGCCCCCAGCGGGCGGAGAGGGGCCACGGTCCTTCCGTCGGACTGACAGGCCCGTGGGCCAATCACGAGCCTCTTTGCCCCTCCCCCAGCAAAGGGAAGGGGGCGGTGACCGCCCTGGCGGTGGCTTCAGCTTGGCGTTCGGGTCCGGCCCGCCGCGGGCACCGCTCCCGCAGCCTCCCGCCATCTACCCGGTGGCCGGTTTTAGTGTGGCCAGTGTGGCCACCACGCCCACGTCCGCCCCAGCTCCTGGCGCCCTGGCTGGGGTCTTTGCTCCGCTAGGTTACCCTCGCGCATGCTCCGGTCAGGCTGGGGCGGGCCACGCCGCTCCTCGGGCAAGCGCGCCGGAGCCTCCCAGTCTTCACCGTCCCGCGTCACCGCTCGGTATTTGGGCCCCCTGCAACGCCTCAGTTTCTCAGAACAGAACTTTTAAAATGGCCTTTAAAAACTAGAAGTCGTTCGCCATATGCACTCTGGTAATCCTATCAACCTGGGAGGCTGGGGCAGGAGGACTGCAGCAAGTTTAAATCCAGGCTGGGGAATTAAGAGATTTAGTGAGCCCTTGTCTCAGAATAAAAAGAGCTGGGGATGCAGTGCAGTGTGAAGGCCCTGAGTTTAATCCATAATACCAGGAAAAATATCAAGTGGTACAAAATACTGTGGCTAAGCGTGGTGGTACACACTTGTTATCCCAACAGTCAAGAGGCTGAGGCAGGGAGATTTCCATGAATTTGAGGCCAACTTGTGGTACATAGTAAGTTTAAGACCAGCCTGGACTACATAGCCAGACCCTGTCCCAAAACAATGACAACAGTCACTCACAAAAACCCAGAAAAGGGCTGGGGAGATAGCTCAGCGGTCTAAGTGCCTGCCTGACAAGCACAAGGACCCGGGTTTGATCCCCATTATCACTTTCTATGCTGGCCCCAGAATCCTGGGTGTGCCACGCTGGCCACCAGATCACGACGAGTACAAACTGTATGGTGAGACCCTAGGCCAAGTAAATAAAAAAAGGTTATTATTATTATTTTTTGGATAAAAAAAAGGTTATTAAAAAAATAGAAAAGGATATGCTGTCATCAAGGCTTGTAGCTGTCCTTTGTCGTGGCTACTACTGTTGGGCTGGGCCCTTATATCTGCCCCATCCTGACCCAGGTCTGTCTTGCTGGGATAGCTGGGGACAAAGTCAGGGATGTCTCAGGGCCAGGAACATAGATGCTGTGAGACTCTTCACTTCTGATCTTCAACAACAAACAGAGTGTCAAGGATCCTCTGATATTGTGGCCTCCCAATTCTTCACTCAGTGGCGCCAGAGACCACGTGTGCTGTGTCCAACCCTGCCTCATACACACCATGGGGAGTGGGTGGCTGTCTAGCCCGGGCCGTCAGAACTCCAAAGTCTGACTCTAGTTGGCTCCAAGGCTAATCAGACCAGCACCCCAAAGGCACAGAGCTGTGGGCAGAGTGAGAGGGACACTGTCCCTTCTGGCCAGCGAACACAATAAGGGCTCCGAGAACGATCAGGGAGAAAGCGACCCTGGCCCAGGTAGGGACTGAGGCAGGAGGATCACACATTCGAGCCCCTCAGTAGAATAAGCGCTTGCCTGGCAAGCACAAGGGCCTGAGTTCAATCCTGGGTTCCGGAGTGGGGAAAAAATTCGAGCTGAACCTGATAAATGGAGCAAGACCGTATCTTAAAATAAAATAGGGCTGGTGTGTAGCTCAGTGGCAGAGCACTTGCCCAGATGCTGATTCTGACCACAGCTTTTGGGCTTTAAGCCGCCCCCACAACACCCGTATAGCTCCTAGTGCCCATCCTAAGTGAACCCGACTCCCAAAGGTGGCTCCAAGTTGGCTCCAAGTTGACCCCACAGGGCCTGTTTCTTTTGTCTTCATGGGATGATTTCTTTCTTTTTTTCTTTCATTCTTTTTCTTTCTTTCAAGCATCGCATGGGTTTAAAAAAAACAAGGGCAAAATAAATAACCTTGCAAACTGTTTGTGTCTTATTTTAGGCTCCTTAGTCTGGCTTTTAGTGTTTGTGCAAAGCTTTCAGAATAAAAACACTTGGAAATACAGGTGAGGGGTCATGTCAGGGCCCTCTTGGCTCCAGGACGGGCCTTGTGGCCTGCCTTGCTGGGCAGGCACCGCACAGGGCAGCCAGTACTGAGAACTGGGGCTGCGCTTGGGGCCAGCCTGACCGGATTCACTGCCAACCCCTGTCAAGAAGGAGGGGACCAGGACTGGGCAAGTCTGGGAACCCCAGGAACCTCCCCTGGACAGAGACCGGGACTGACTGCATGCCTTAGGAGACAGGGATGGTCCTCTGGGGAAGATGTTTGCCCTTCCCAGGCCAGGCAGGGATGGTCATGTGCGGTGATGGTGGTGGGGCTGTCCACGGAAACAAAGGGCTTGGCGCTCCCTGCAATGAGGGTTTTCCTGAAACGTGGTTCTGAAGGAAAAATTCAGGAATTCTAGTTTTCTACCTTATGTTGAAGGTTTTTTGCTGTAGATTGTTATTATTATTTTCATACTGGGGATTGAACTCAGGACCTTACACTGGCCAGGCAAGCTCTTATGCTGCTGACCTATCTCCCCAGCCTTTGTTTTGCTTTTTGAGACAGGGTCTTTCTATATAGTTCAGGCTAGCCTTGAACTCTTGGGGATCCTCCTGCCTCAGCTTCTTCTTTCTTCTTCTTTTTTTTTTTTTTCCTGCCTGAGCTTGAGTGCTGAGATTACAGATGTGCACAGTGGGTGTTCACGATTATTAGACGATTATTATTTATGTTAGATTATTTTTCAAAAAATTCTCAAAATCACAGGAAAGTGAATGTCCACGCCATTACACAGGGAAGTGATTATGTGGAAGAAGTTACAGCACGGCGGGGGTATAGCTCAGTGGTAGAGCATTTGACTGCAGATCAAGAGGTCCCCGGTTCAAATCCGGGTGCCCCCTCTGAGGCCTGGGGTTATTTTGTTTTGCTAGTGTCCCACACAAACTTAGGCGCTGCCTTCCAGATCCAGAGGGGGCCACGGGCAGCCATCCTTCAGGGCCGGCACCCTTTTGGGGGCTGCTGAGGTTGGGGTCCTGTCCGGCGGTCTCTCCGCGTGTGCGCATGTGGCAGGGCAGGAGCAGCGCGAGCCGGTGCCAGGAGCTCCGGGGCCCCCGGAAGATACTCGCGATGCATTGCGGGGTGCAAGGGGGCACCTCAGGTCATGGGTCCCCCAGAGTCTCAGAGAGGGATTGAGTTGCCAACGGCGGTGCTTGGACTGGAGAAGGAAAAGAAGGCCGGGAAAGACCAGGGAAGAGAGAAAGTCGCGCGGAGGCAGTGGAGAGCTCCCGCCGAGCCGAAGAGGGGACTCGAGGCTGGAGGGACGGACGCTCCCAAAGTGGGCGACCTCAAAGGTCGTCCTTTCCACATACGCCGATCACAATTTCTACACCACCAGTAGGAGTTATTAGCTCAGAGCTTATGCTTCCAAGCGAGTTGCGTATCGTTTCTTTGTCTTTTTTTTTTTGAGTACAGTGTTTGGATCCGCTTCGCGTCTCTTCCGTAGCGCGCTACTGCGCCTGCGCGGAAGTAGAATTAAGGAGTTACAGGCGCGAAACTGCCGGCAGAGGGGGTATAGCTCAGTGGTAGAGCATTTGACTGCAGATCAAGAGGTCCCCGGTTCAAATCCGGGTGCCCCCTGGCTTGCGTTTTCCAAACCGAGATTCTTGCACTACCTATTAACGTCAAGCTTTTTATTGCTTTCGCCTTAGCCCACCACCCTTTCGGGCATAAAGGAACAAGTTCCAGAGCAGGGGGCTCTCCAAATCCCTGGACCAGCGACAGCACGCAGGTCTACCCAGATCCCCGGCGCAGTGGGAATAAAGAACTTGCGTTACAGCCCAGAGATGTGAGCAATAAACGCTCCAGGCGACTCGGAAGCTCGATCCATGTTTAAAAATTCTGTACGACTTTGGTTCTGATTTCACCAAGCTATTTTCTCCTGAGCCACCTAGGAGACCTTACAGATCAGATCGTGGGCACCCAGGCCGGGCCACGGCTAGGGGCCCTGGGCAGCGGGCAGCAGGCGCCTCCTGGGACCTTCGTCCCAACCCGGGCAGAGCTGGCCAGTGCGCCTTAGCAAGGGGACAGCGGCGCGGGCGGTGCAGTCTCACATGTAGCCACTGGAGGGCGCAGGAGGCCGAGCGCAACGCGGCAGCTGCGGATCCCTTCATAGAATCGCTGTCCCTGGGATTTCTACTGGAAATCGAGTTCACCGGCAGGACTTGGCCTGTTGCGTGGTGGGAGCATAATTTAGGACTGGAGGAGGTCGTCTTGGGACCCGTGAACGGAGGAGAGAGGACTTGGGATGAAGAGATTAGGGAGCCTTTTGGTTTTGGTTCTGAGGACTGGACTCCGGGTTTTCGTACTCAGCTCCATCCGCAGCCCTTTTTATGTTTTAAATTTTGCTAAATTGGTAAATTACCCAGTCTGGGCTCTAACTTGCGATCCTCCCGCCTCAGCCTCCCAGAGCGCTGAGACTGCTGCCGTGCACCTCCAGGTCCGGGAGCCTCAGTTCTCGCCTCTTCCATGAGCTCCTGCCGTTGACCTCGACGGGCAAGGTGCGCCTGCAGCCCACCCTGCGCCTCCGCTCCCTACCGCACCGGTTCTACTAGTCCCAGGCTCCTCTCCGTCCCCGTCCTGTCACTCTCTGTCCCCCAGCTTCTCCCCTTCCCACGAAGTGGGTCACAAACGCCTCCGCGTCCTGACCCGATTCCCGGCCGTCTACCTCAGCTCCTGAACTACGGGTATTTTTATTCTGTCCTGGAAGAAACGAAGACACTGTGTCCCCAGAGCTGGGAGCTCGTGGCTCAGGCTGCGCCCGGCCCGCTAGCTGGTCCTCTGGGCTGGGGATGGGCGTGCAGGGGCGCGAGGCGTGGACTTGGGGCTGTGGGCGCGCGGGTGCCCGGGGCGCGTGCAGGACATGAGCTATCCAAGGGCTCTGAGCAAGCAGCGAAGCTTAGGGTAGGGCGGTGGCCGGAGCGCTGGCCCCAGCTAGGGGCGCTCGGTTCGTCCCCCTGTGCCCGCATCCTCCTCCCAGGGAGGGGAGGCGGGGCGGGGGCGGAGCTTGCGCTGAGGCCCCGCCCCCAACTCGCTCGGCCCCGCCCCGCCCCGCAGCCCTCTCGGCCGGAGGTAGCCGGCGCCCGCTCCGGCGCCACCATGCGGGCCGCGCGCTGGCTGCTAGCGCTGGTGCTCGGGGCGGCCGCGCGCGCGCAGAGCCCCCAACTCCCTGGAGCAGGTAGGACAAGGGCCGAGGTGGTCCACGGAGGCGATGTCACAGAGTCCCAGGGCCCCGAGCTGCGGGCAAGTGGACCAGAACCTGCTTCCCGGGCGCTCCCCCCTCTCCTTCGCTCCTAAAGGGGGTTCTGGGGGCCTCGGGATCGAGTTCTTGGAGGGGCCGTCGGGTCACTCCCGGCCAGGCTCCCTCCTGTTCCCCTGCCCCCCTGTCCCTCTCCGCCTCAGGGGTGACCCAGGCGGGTCTGACCAGGGTCGGGGCGGGGTGGAGCCCCGGGCTAGGGCGGGAGGGACCCCTCTGGAAGCGGCGGTGGCCCCGAGCCGGCTTTCTCACACCTATGCGACTTGCTGTTTCTCGTCCGTCAGACTCAAGGTCCGCTCCCGTCGCAACGCTCCCTCTTGCCCCGGTGGCCTCGGCCACCCTGCGGGCTCTGCATACAGTAGGGGCTTCATAGAGGGGCGCTGGCGCCTCAGACCCCAGACTCGCCCCCGAGAGAGCACCCTTCCCGCGGGGCCGCTCCTGCTCGCCTTCCCTAGGGGAGAGCCCTGGTTCGTCCCCCGCCGCCAGTGCCAGCAGAGGGACAGGGTGTGGTGGGGGCCTGGTAGCCGAGGCTCAGCAGCTGGAGCCTTCCCTGGAGACTGGATTCCCCCTGAAAGTCAGAAAGTTGATCTCTGAAAACAGCCTGGCTCTGGAGACTTTGGAGGGTGTCTCTTTGTTGTCCAGCGTGGTGGCTCCGACCTTTTTATTTTTCATTTGGAGACAGCGTCTCCCTAAGTAGCTAGGTTCCCCAGGTTGGACCCAAACCTGTGATTCTCCTGACTCAGGGTCCCAGAGAGCTGGCATTACCCACCTGTGCCACCACACGTGGAGATTTTCTCATTCCCATCTTACAGATGTGAAAACAGAGGCCTAGAGAAATTTTTGCAACTTGTCCAGTGTCACACGGAGTGGTAGAATCCGAGGTCTGCCTTGAGCTCATCTGGTTCTGAATGCAAGCTTTAGCTGGGATGCAACCCTGGGGCTTCCAGGGGTTGTCCATGGAACAGGGTCTTCCCAACCCAGAATCTCAGACACGCAGGGGATTAAAGATGCTCCTCAACCCTTCCAGCACCCATGTGCCTGTCGGAGCCTAGATCTGAGCTAAAAGGGCAAGGGCAGCAGTGTGTGTGTGTGTGTGTGTGTGTGTGTGTGTGTGTGCTCTTTGTGGACTCCAAGCACAGTCTGGGCTGGGCCAGCTGTGCTGTGAAGCCTCAGACTGGGCCTGGCTGTGAGGGGTGCCGTTGCCAGGCGTGGGGTCCAGCTGGGAGCAGGCTGTCCCTGCGTGGTGGGCTCTGTGCCAACTGTGAGCAGCCCAGGGGCATCCTGGGCTGGCTGGGGCTCTTCCTCTCCCCACGTTCTCTGGGAGCATCTGGTTGTGATCAGGGATGAGAAGCGAAGGGGCCTGGCAAGGGTCCGGGAGGCATGGCAGCCAGAGGGCTTAATTGGGTAGAATGGCAAATGGCAAATCAGAGCCCTGAAACAGTGGCCTGGCCCCAGCTCAGGCCTGTCCCAGCTTCTGTTGCTCCCCAGAGGTCTCCCAGCCTCATGACCTAACTATGCAGCATTGTCCCTTATACATCCAGAGCAGGTGTGACAAGTGAAATGATAGCCAGGTGTGATGGCACACTCCTGTAATCCCTGCATGAGGGAGGCTGAAGCAAGGGGATCACCTGAGTTTGAGGCCAACCTGGGCTACACAGTGACTTAAAGGCCAGCTGGAACTGCATAGTGAGACTCTCAAAAAGATGAAAGAAAAAAGATCTTGTCTGAAAGAAACAAAAAGAGCCTGGGAGTAGAGTGGGTTTGGTCCCCAGAACCACACACAGGAACCAACCACCAAGCTGTGTGTTTGTGTACAAGTAGTGGATCTTATGTGTATTCTACCAGTTTTTAAAATCTGGGGCCAGGGATGTAGCTCAGTGGCACAAGTGCCTGTCCAGCAGGTGCGAGGTCCTGAGTTCAATTGCTGATATTAAAAAAGAAAAAAGAAAGGAAAAAAATGACCCCATCCAAGGTGTCTGTTGTGCCAAGCTGGAGAAGCCCTAAGCTACATGACCAGAACTTCACAGCATGTCATCCCAAGTCCCCTGGGAGACGCCAGGGGTCAGGGGCCACCTCTAGCAGATTGAAAGGCTTTCTTGGCTGCCACTCTAAGCTTTCCAATCGAGGTAGGTCCAGATTAAAAGAAAAAGACACAAGAGCTAGGAAAGTGTTTCAGTCAGGTCCACAGGTGTGGAGAAAGGACTGCAAGGGCCCCTGGAATACCTTCTGGAAGCAACCGCACAAGTCAGCCGTCCAAGTGTCACACCTCGGCCTGTCCCTTGACATTGGAAACAAGGCTGAGCAGCCCTGCTGTCTTCATCAGGTGTCAGGAAGGCTTCTGGCTACAGCTTTAGCGGTTTTCTCCGTGGCTTGTGGTGTGCTTGATGGCCCCGCCCGGGGTCTCTTCCAGGGGCTCCTCGTGGGCCGCCATCCACTGGACTCAATGGCAGTGGTCACTGGTGAAGTCCTCCTGGCTGGTGGCTGCTGATGTAGCTAAGTTGTCAATGCAGGAAATTTTTTTTCTGTTTTTAGACGGGGGTTTCTCTATATAGTTCAGCATGGCTTTGAACTCACTATGTAGCCCAGTCTGGCTTCAAACTTGAGGTCATCCCCTGGCCTTGGCCTCCTGAGTACTGAGATTACAGATGCGCGCACCATGCCGGTCCCCTTTCCGACCTCCACCCAGAACTATGGTGCTCAGTTTTCTCTCCCTTCTGCAGGTCACGATGAAGGCCAGGGCTCCGTGTGGGCTGCCAAGGGGGCCACCCAGGGCTGGCACCGGAGAGCCCGGGACAGCCCCAGGCAGGTGTCGGACATGGACAGGACCCAGCTGAGCCAGGACTTCGGTGGGGGCACCCTGGCTATCGACACCCTGTCGGATAACAGCACCCGTGTGGTGGTGAGAGCTGGGGAGGGGACGTGTGTGGTCTCCAGGTGGCCCTGGAGTGGAGCGAGGGGCCCCGGGAGGGTGGAGGAGGAGCTCTGTTGGGCCTGCTCTCAGCTCTTGGAGCTGGCGCTGCCTGGCTCGCCCAGGACCCGCAGTGTGGGTGGCAGCTCAGATGCCCAGTAAGGCCTGGCTCCGAGCTCCTCCCTGACCCAGGATAGCAATGCTGAAGGTGGCATCGGTCTCATCCAACTGTGGGGGACCCAGAGGTCTGCAGCGGCACAGGCTGAGGATGGAAGGAAAAGCAGAGGGGTGCAGGGGGGACAGAGTCCCTTGCCAGTGCATGGCAGGCATAGCACCCCTCCAAGAGCACGGATGAGGGTGAACTTCTGGCCCATAGAAGGGCTTTGGAAGGCTTGGGTTGAAGCCTCGGAGGAACAGGAGCCCCCGCCCTCTCCACCACCTTCCACAGGTCATCCATGGGGTGGGGAGGTGGTCTTGGGAGCAGATGCCCCCCGGCCCCGCTGATGCACATGAGTGCACTAGAACCCCAACCGCCTCACACCTGGGCTTTGCCATTCCTGTGGCTGGTCTTGTTTGGGCGTGTGTTGGGCGCAGTGATGAGGACTGAGAGTCAGGGTCCTAGCCTTTTAGCCGCATGTGGGCAACACAGAGGTTTAGAAGGAGCTGTTCTTGCCCAGCATGGGGGCACCCCCCTGTAGTCCAAGCACTTGGGGAGGCTGAGGCAGGAAGGTCTCCTCCATTTCAGGGCCAGTGAGTTCAAGGCCAAGGTGACCTACATGAAATGAGACCCTGTCTCGAAATAATGAAATAAAGAAAGTGTATATTGAGGCCCATTTGTTCTTCATGAGCTCTCAGGCCTGAGGCCAATGGCAAAAGCCAGGTCTCAGTAGGACCCTTGTTCAAGGAGAAAGGGCAGCATAGCCAACTTGTCTTTTCTTTCTTTTTTGGTTTGTTTATTTTTCTTTGAGATAGGTTCTCATTATGTAGTCCAGGCTGGCCTCAAACTGAGAAGGCATCCTCCTGCCTCTGCTTCCCCAGTGCTGGGATTACAGGTGTGTGCCATAGCACCTGGGTTCCCATAGTAATCTTAAGGGTTCTTCCTTCTATTAAAAGAATAGAAGTGAGGGCCGGCCGAATAGCTCAGTGGGTTAAAGTACCTGCTTAGGCAGAGCACAGCAGCTGGGGCTTCGATGCCCCGTGCCGGTCCCACCCTGGAGGTACACTGAGAAGCGATTGAGATTGGGCGTGGTGGTGCACTCCTGTAATCCCAGGAGGCTGAAATCAGGAGGCTGAAAACAGGAGGACACTACGAGTCTGATCTATGTAGTGAGACCCTGTAGCAAACACATTAAAAAAGAAAAGAAAAAATAGAAGCAGCCACCACTGCCCTGAGGCTGCTGGCCATCCCTGGGTGCTGTGTCCAGCTGCCTTGGTAGCAGTCTGATGCGCCTTTGAACAGGTCCTAAGGCCTGGGTGAGGACCCTAAGGCTACACAGTGCTGCTTAGAGACGGAGCCCCGAGAGGTGTCGCAGGTCCTGAAGCGGGTTTTGGGGAAGGGAGGCTGCCAGCCGTCGGAAGCCTGTAGCTCCTGCCCCTAGGACCGGAAGTTCGGCCATATTTCTTTCTTGGGAATCACACTGGGGCCTTGTCCACAGCTATATCGGGGCTTCAGAGGTCGTGCAGCCAGTCAAACCTGGGGGAGCGGGTTTAACGCCTTGTGCAGCTGTGGCAGGCAGGGCCTGGCAGGCTACATGTACCCTGCCGAACGAGCTGGGCACCTGGGGCCAAAGCAAATCCTTTGCAGGGGACTTTGGGGACAGTAATTGGCTCTAGACTTTGAGACGCCATACACCTTTCTGGCCAGGAAATTTAAAATCTGAACCAAAGGTCTCTGCGCCTCTGTTAAGAGAGGGAGAATGAGTAGGACCATCCGCATGTTGCACGGTAGCCCCACTTGTTGCGGTTGGATCAACTAAGGCTGTGACCAAAGCTTGTCCGGGAACACGGGGACGAGCCCTGTGGAAGGATGGTTCGGCTGAGCTGTTTGTTCCAGCGCAGCCCATCAGGCCACTCAGACACAAAAGGCTGCACCCCACGGCCCTGAGCCACGGCCACCAGAGAGGGCTCCGCGATCTCTGGTCTTTGCCAACACTCATGCCTTGCCTGCTTCTTTTTAATTATAGCAATCCCAGTGGGAGCAAAGCCACGCCATATTGTGGCTGTCATTTGGGTTTCCGTAATGATAAATGATGCTGAGCAAGTTGGCCGTTTGTGTGTCTGTTCCAGGGCTCTCTCTACTTCTTTCTTGGCCCACTTTAAAACTGGATTGTCTGTCTTTGTCTTGGGAAAATCTCCTAACACCTCTGAGCCCGTTTCTCCAGAGTCTGGTGCGGGTCCTGAAGTCTAACTGGCACGGCCAAGATGCTGAACAGCAAGGTGACCAAGGCCTGGCCGTGGTCGGGAACCGTGGTCACCCGTGAGTGCTGTGTGAGGCTCTGGCTCACAGTGACCACCACCCTGGTTTTCCCAGGATGCCTTGGTCTTAGGACTGAGTATCCAGCATCCCAGGAGACCCCAGGGGTCCAGGCAAACCAGGACAGTGTGGTTGCTGAGAAGACAGGGGCGCCTGCTGTGATGTGACTGTGTGTGTCCCCCTCTATTCCTGAGTAGGGCTGTGATCTCTAGGGCTGAGGGCAGAAAGGCGGGGCCCTCCAAAGTAGGACTAGCGCCCTAATGAAAGAGGTTTGAGGGAGCTTTGTTGGCCTTTTCACCATGTGGATGAGGGTGAAAATGATGCCAAGAAAGAGCCATCCCCAGGCCACTGGGACACCCTGAATCTTCCAGGGCCTTGATCTTGAACTTGCCAGTCTCTAAAATCAGGAGCAGTAGATGTTGGTAGTTTCTAAGTTGCCACATTAAAGGGGTTTTGTTCCAGCAGCCTGGAAAGGCTGAGGTGGCATCATTCAGAGTTGTCACCCCAAAATGGTTTTCTTGTCTATAAAGCAGGACCAAGAATGCCTCAGAGAGTTGGTATGCACCTTAGACAAGCTAGGTGGGTCATCCCACCTACTCTGGAAGCTGAGGCAGGAGGATTTCAATTTTTTTTTTTTTTTTTTTTTTGCGGTACCGGGGATTGAACTCAGGACACTGTGCTTGCCAGGCATGCGCTTATTTTACTGAGCTATCGCCCTGGCCCAGGATTGCAAGTTTGAGGCCAGCCTGGGCATTGTTTTGTTTTGGTTTTTGAGACACAGTTTTGCCATGGAGTCCTGTTTGGCCTTGAGGTCACTTTGTAGCCCAGGCTGCCCTCAGCCTCACAGCGATCTTCCTGCTTCAGCCTCCTGAGTACTGGGATTACGGGGGAGTGCCACCATGCCCGGCTTCATATTTAAACTTGTGTGTCTGATCTATTCCACTTAAGATTATGGCCTCAAGGCGCAGCCCTCAGCTTTACGGCAGAATAGTATTCCAGTGTATGTAGACACCGCCCTGGCCCTACCTATTCCACTGTGGGTGGGCAGACAGGTTGTTTCCGAGATTAGCTCAGGAATTATGCTGCTATGAACAGGGACATCTGTGTATCATCGTGGTATGATGACTTTAACTCTTTCAGGAAGATACCTGAAGGGGAACCGCTGGGTCACGTGGGCTCTCCCCGGGGCTTCCATTGTGGCTACCCCAGCTACATTCCCACCAGCATCCCCCACCAGTGGAGAAGGGTTCCTGCCTGAGTTTATTTCATCCCAAGGTCTAATTACTCCCAAGGGTGGCAGAGCGGGTAGTTTCCTGTTGTTGTAACTGAATGCCCGAGGTCAAATGATTAAAAGAATAGAGGATTAGGGCTGGGGAGATAGTTCAGTGGCATAAGCACCTGCACCTGCCTGGCAAGTGCAAGGTCCTGAGTTTGATTCCTCGTACCGAAAGAAAAAGAAAAAAAAGTAAAGGATTATTTATTTATTTGTATTTAGTACAGGGTCTAAATATACAGGGTCTCACTACAGAGAGTCTTACTACACAGATTGTACTTGTAGTGATCCTCCTGTTTTCAGCCTCCCAAGTGCTGGGATTACAGGCGTGCGCCACCACACCCAGTCTCAATCTCGGTCTCAGCGCACCCTGGGGGTAGGGCCAGCATGGCAGGCTGGGGATTGAACCTCCAGCCCCTGCATCTGTCTAAGCAGGTGCTTTAATCCGCTGAGATATGTGGCCAGCCCAGTAAGGGATTACTTAGCTCCCAGTTCTGGCACTGAAAGTCCAAGACCAGGGGCCACAGCAGTGAAAGCCACAGGGGTGTGTGCAGGGAGAGAACACAGTGGACCCCAGCCTTCATCAACCTGCTCTGCAGTACCCACCCCAGCACTGCAAGGACTGCATCACTCTCGCCTAAGAAGCCAACTTAATTCTCGCCCCTTCTCGGCCGCATTCGCTCAGGCAGCAAGCTCCCGCCTGTGCTCCTGGAGGTGCAGCAGGCGCGCCTCGCCACCTGGATGCGACTGCGGGGCTCACAGGGCGCGCCCTGCGTCCAGCTGCACAGGCGCCTTGAGCTGGACTCTGCCTGCCGCCGCTGCCCCTCTGCTCGGTTTCGGAGCAGTGGTTTTCACATCGTGCCCCTCGGAACCCTAGGGATCCCCGAGCTGCTCAGCTGACTGAGTGCGGCAGAGAAGGCGCACACGAGCCTGCTCCTGGCTTCCCTGCCTCCCTCCTGGACGGCCCCGCCTCTGTGTGACCTGCATACTGAGTGGCACAGAGCAGTCACCAGCAGAAAGGACTTCGGGGGCAGAACTATTTGAAATTCATGTTCCATTGCCTCCCGGCATGAGGATGGCTCGTGTCACCTGTCACCGAGACACAGCCCCCTCGGGTGGACTTGCCCGGCAGCCTGGCTCCTGCAGACCCTTGTCTGAAACGGCAGGTCCCCCCCGCGTCTTCCAGCCCACGGCGCCTGGAGTGCATGTGGCGATGGGCGGTGGGTCTCATGGATTCCTCGCAGGCACAGCCTCCTCGGTGTGTTGAAGTCAGTCTGCACCAGCGGCCCGGCTTGTGCTCCTTAGCATGCAGGCAGAGGATTGTGACATGTGCTGGGCTGACAAGGCCCTTAGATAGCAGAGAACATCCTCGCCCACAGGTGAGAGTGTGAGCACAAGGGCTGGTGCAGCATCTCGGGGCTGTTGGGGACCCGGTGCCCCCAGTCTGGTTCTTTGCCCTCTGTACCTGTGTGCCTTCTGTTTGCAGTCAAAAATGGCAACTTGAGCTCCTGCCATCACACCTGCATCCCCTCTAGGCACAGGGAGAGCAGTTCATTCCTCCTAAGGGCTATTATTCTACTCGTGCTCCTTTTTGGTCAGACAGTATAAGGCGTGCTAGGGTGGCCTTCAGCTTCTTGGCCTTCTGCTACTAAGGGGAGGCTGAGGGCTGGGCAGATAGCTGGCGGTCTAAGCGCCTGCCTGGCAAGCTCAAGGACCCAGGGTTCGATTCCTGGTACTGCAGGCTGGCCCTGTGCTGGGCCAGCCACCGAAACTGGGGGTGGTGGCGCATGCCTGTAACCCCAGAGCTGGGGAGGCTGAGACAGGAGGATCACAACGTATCCAAGCTGTGTAGCGAGACCCTGGATCAAATAAACAAATAAATTTTAGAAGGGGGAGGCTGATTATTGGAAGGGGAAAACCAGTCTTTGCCAAGGGAAGGGTTGCTGTCTGTGAGGGGAGCTGAGTCGGCCACTTTGCTGATGCTGAAACACAATGCCTGGTACCCACGATTTAGAGGGGGCGAGGCTGGGCGTGGCTTATGGTTTCAGGGGTTCTGTCTGTGCTAGAGGGGCGGGCCTGGCAGAGAAAACTGACTAGTTCATGCAGGCAATAGTGCTAGGGAGGAGGGGGCCAGGGGCCAGGCACAGCCTCCAGGGTGACCCTGTCCTGATCGCCAGGACATACCCGGAAGTCCCCAGGCGCCCTCAGTGCATGCCAGTCGAGTTGCCGCCGTCATGGCCCACCAGGATGGCCCTGGCTCTGGATGGTGAAGCAACCGTGGGCCTCAGTTGCCCACCTGGGAAAAGGAATGACATTAGTCCTCCTCTAGGGGTTGCTGGTGCCGGTGCTGATGCCCATGCAGGGCCCAGCTGGAGGCCACAGCTCTGTGAATGCCAGGTCTCGGCTCCTCTTGCCCGCCGTCCTGGGCTCCTCACTGACCTGGTCCCTGCTGTGTACAGCACAGAGCCCTCTCAGTTGCCTCCTTCTTGCCTCCGTGTGCCGTCCTTGGGCAGGGCTCTGAGTAGCTGTGGCTCCAGCTCTGCTGTCCTGGGTCATCAGAGCCTCTTGCACCAGGGAAGGGGCCCGGGCCTGTCAGAGACCTGAGCCAACCGCGTGGTGCTGCCAGCGCATTCTGCTCCTGGTGGCTGCACTCAGCCGAGGCCCCGGAGCATCTTGGCAGGGAGCTCGGCTGTGGTTGGAAGTGGCTTGAGCGTGGCCCTGAGATGCGTGCGTGGATATTTAATCCCCTCACGCTGCATCAGGAGGCTGGTGACTCCATCCCACCTTGCCAAAGGGAGGGAGACCGCGCACCCTGCCGGAGCTTCAAGATAGACAGGGTCAGCAGGGTGGATGCCTGAGGTCAGATCTTGGTGGCATTAGAGCACCAGGACACACCAGCACCACTGGAAATGAAGTGGCGGTGAGTGAGGCCGAGCAAGGCCAAGAGCATGGCCCGTGGCCTACCATGGAGTAGCAGGACCAGGCCGTTTGTCTTCACATGACATAGAGGTTGCAGAGGAACCAGCCAGCGAGACACACATCCCGTATCCCCGTCTACTTGGGCTTCACAGCAGCACCGTGTGGCTTCCGCCTGCGTGCTGCAGTCCGCGATGCGGTGGCCACGGGAATCCAGAAGCAGCTAAGGCAGCGAGACCCTGCCCCGGCTTCTTCACTCTGGCTGCAAGACAGGGTGGGGTAGGGCCTCGCGAACTCACCATCTTGGGACACGCAGTCTGGGTGGAAGTAGGCACAACCGCATCATCCTCACTCAGGCTGTGATGGCAGGAAGAGCCTCCTGCAGGCTGAAGCCCGGTAGGGCTGGGGCACAGACTATAGCCCGAAAGGAGCAGGTGCTGGTGCTGGCCAGACCAAGGTCAGGGGGATTTATTTCAGAATACTGAACTGGACTTCAGGAGCGCATCATCAAACACCCAGGCTCTACCCTACCATCCCTGGAGGGGGCAGCTTCTTATCCTCACACTGACAAAACGGCTGCTAGAGCCTCAGCCATCGTGTCTGCATTCTGGACGGGAAGAAGGCACAGGAAAAAGATTAAAGGGACAAGTCATTAAATTTGACTTCTTTCAAAGTCGCCACTGGAGCCTTGGGCTGGTCTCTTGGCCAGCCTGTGTGCCCCTTACGACATTCAGGCAATGAGGGCTTTTGCTGAGTACCTTGCTGCTTGCTACAAGATCAGTGTTGGTAAAGAAGAGGAAGGAATGGATGTCAAATAGGCAGCGCCCAGAGATGGCCCCACGGACCCTGTGGATCGTGGTAAGCGTGTGACTCCTGTCTTGAGTAGAACTGGGGAGCCACAGAATGTGCTAAGTGGAGAGAGTGACTGGTTTGGAGAACAACTCCAGGTGGCCCCAGCTGGGCCCCAGCAACCCAGGGCACTGTGGGCTCAAAGGACCGCAGCGCTGGGAGCTGCAAACACAGGGAGGAAGCCCCCTGATGTCCCGGCAGCTGGCAGCCGCTTGGAGAAGCAGATTCACCTTCCAGCCTCCAGCCCATCGCAGACCTCCCTCGCCTGTCCTCAGAGGGCAAAAGAGCGAGCCTGGCCCACACCTAGGGCTCAGCTCCCCACAAGCTGATAGGGAACATGCACGGGAGGACCTCGAGCCACGGGCAGAGAGGGGGCCTCTGGGATCGAGGTGCGTCAGACACGTGAAGGTCAGGCTGAAGGGCACTTGGCTTCCTTCTTTACAACGCGAGGCTAACATCAGCCCTTCCATGCACTCGCTTTCTGAGGCAGGAACTCGCTGTGTAGTTCAGAACTCACGGCGGCGATCCTCCCACCTCAGCCCCCTGAGCGCTGGGATCACGGGTAGGCCTGGCAATGATGCTTTTGTTGGCAGGGGGTGACGCTGTGGTAAGCACGGCATCTTACACTGACCCTCGCCCTTGCCCTGATGACGGTGGCACCCTTCAGTGGCTTCCAATGAAGCCATCCATCCCACCAGCCTGGCTCATGTGACATGGAAGCAGGGGACCCTGGAGCATTCCATGAAACATGGGTGAAGAGGAGGTCTCTGGGAAGGAGTGGCATCCTCACAGGGTGGGTGCGTCAGGGCAGGAGGTCACTCACGTAAACTGAGCTTTGAAGAGGCAGAGGCAGCAGGCACCCTGCCCTCCTGCCCCCTGCCCCCTTTTCTTGGCTCCTGAGCCTGTCCCCTGTCCCTGGGCTGTGTCTGCTCTCCACAGTGAGGACAACTGTCAGTCTTGGTCATGCTGGGTTCAAGGCAAGGCTGGCTGGGCAGCCAATTAGTGACCCAGATGCCCAGGGCCCAAGTGCCCTTCTGTAGGGCACACCCAGACCACCCTGTCCCCATGGGGCAGGGACAGGCACAGAGTGACACTCCACTCCCTCTAATGCTCCCCCAGGGACAGATTCAGTGTCCTGTCTGGTTCTCCTCCTGCCCCAAGAAGACCCTGGAAGGACTCAGGCTGCAGGGGAGGTGTCCTGGCTGCTGCTGGGCTGGTCCTGGGCACAGTAAGGGCAGATTTGGCGGGGCCTCCCCTCCTGAGGACAGGGGTGCAGTGTCTGAGGTCAAAGGGGATGGAGGGTCCATGGCCAGGCCAGCCACCTGGGCCACGGGTCCAGTGCCCTGAGAGACTGGTGGCTTTTGGCCCCTGGAAGTCTGAGTGGGGCGGGCAAAGGTGCTTCCCAGGCCCCTGGCCCCTCACCCCTGCGGCCCTGTCTGTCCCTGCAGGAGGACAACCACAACTACTATGTCTCCCGAGTCTATGGCCCCCGAGAGCCCCGCAGCCGGGAACTGTGGGTGGACATGGCTGAGGCCAACCAGACCCAGGTGCGGGTGCACGGGATCCTGTCCAACGCACATCGGCAAGCAGCGGTGAGTGCCCCCCCCGGGGGGGGGCAGGGCGTGGCTGTGCGGGGGATCTAGACTCCATCCGGGCCCTGCAGGTGCGCCCCTAAAACTCCCCTGTCCTCACAGAGAGTGGTCTTGCCCTTCGAATTCCCTTTCTATGGGCATCCTCTGCGACAGGTCACCATAGCAACGGGAGGTAAGACTTGAGGCAGCAGCTGCGCTGGGAGGGGCTGGGAAGGCTCCCTGGAGACCAGGTTCCCAGGGCTTCTCTAGCTAGCTCTGGCCCATGGTTGACGCACATGGGCACTGGTGGGACCTTCTCTGGTGGGGGGGGGGCTTTAGATCCAAGCATGCCAGACCCAGGGCTCCAGTGGGAGGGGACAAGGAGTGGGGCGCACTCTCAGCCCCTGCCTCTGAGGCCATCCCTGGCACCCCTGGGTCTCCCGTCTGCCCTCTCCCCGCAGGCTTCCTCTTCATGGGCGACATGATCCACCGCATGCTCACAGCCACGCAGTATGTGGCGCCCCTGATGGCCAACTTCAACCCCGGCTACTCCGACAACTCCACTGTGGCCTACTTTGACAATGGTGAGGAGGAGCTTGGAGCACCAGCGCTGCTAGGAGCACCCCGGCCCAGTCCCTTTGGAGGTGCTCCATGCCTTGTCCCCAACTCCACTGCCTGCTTGCCCCAGTTTAAGGAGATGACTTGTAAGGGCCTGGCTCTTGGAGGAGGTGACATTATAAAAGTCAGGGACCTGGGGCTGGGGAGGTGGCTCAGAATAAGTGCTTGCCTGGCAAGTGCAAGGACCTGAGTTCAATCCCTGGTTCTGCAAAAAAAAAAAAAAAAAAAAAGTCAAGGACCTTTTTTATGTCTTCTCACTGGGTCCTGGTGGTGGGACCAGATAAGTCCCCTCTTCCTGTGTCTTGAAGTCCAACACCAAGGCCTCACCAACTCACGGGCAGGGCTTTTCAAAGGTGATAAAAGCCAGGCGTGGTGGTTCCTGCCTGTAATCCCAGCACTCTGTGAAGCTGAGGCAGGAAGACCGCTGTGAGTTCAAGGCCAGTCTGAACTATATAGAAGGAGTCACAAACCAAATAAACCCCGAACAAATCGTGGTGGGTCCCTATAGCTAAACCTGATGGCAAGAGGTGGGCGGGGCCTCGGGAAGGGGCGGGGCCTGAAATGGCTCCTCCTCCCCTTGCTCCCTGCTTCCTAGCTGGGAGGAGGTGAGCTTCTGCCTTGGTGGCTGCCTACTATAGAAGGGTTGAAGCCCTTAAAACAGGAGCCGAAATAAAGCTCTCCTCCTGGATGCTGCGGGTGCCAAGAGTTGTGCCTCAGGGGCAGCAAGTGTCTGGACGTCCCCATCACTCCCCCCAGCCCAGTCCTGCAATCCTTGCCCCCCCATCCCTGCCCACCCCCAGCCCCCCAAGCCCCGCCCAGCCAGCCTCTGCTCCGTCCCAGGGACGATCTTCGTGGTGCAGTGGGACCGCATCTACCTTCAGGATTGCGAGCACAGGGGCAGCTTCACGTTCCAGGTGTCTCTGCACCGCGATGGCCGTATCGTCTTTGGCTACAAAGAGGTGAGTGCCGGTGACTTGGGGCTGTCCCGGGGCTCGGCAGATGTCCGCAGAGTGGGGACGACGTGGAATCAGGGTGAGAATGGAGGCTCCCGGCGTCTTCCTGGAGTCCTCTAAGAGGTGGCGCTGAGCTCTGTGGCGTCCCGATCATCCCAAGGGCCTCCGGGTAGAAACAGCTCCTTCTTGCGCTGCAGATCCCCATGTCTGTCCGGGAGATCAGCTCCTCCCAGCACCCCGTGAAGGCAGGCCTGTCAGATGCCTTCATGGTCTTCAATCAGTCTCCGGATGTGCCAGGTGAGTCTTGGGGACCTGGAGCACCAGCCTGTGGGGTTGGCCTCGAACTCTGTCCTTCTGAGAACCATATCCTGTCTCAGCCTTACCTGCTTCCTTTGTAAAATGGTCGATGAATAAAAGGGGAGCTGCCTTCTGGGCCCCCTCCAACGCTGTCATTTTAGGGGTCACGGCTTTCTCTCCTGCTTCAAATCCCAATCTGTGGCCAGAGGAGGCTTTTCATTTTGTGACAGTTCTGGCAGTCACTAAGTGGCCCAGGCTGGGCTTAAACGTATGAAAATATAGCTGGTCCAAAATGTAAAAGATGCAAAAAGATGCAGAGAAAAGATTAGAGTTTTTGCTGGCCGTAAAGGAGCACAACTAGAATTTCAGCATTCGGGGAGGGTGAGGCAGGAGGATTGTAGCAGCTTTGAGCCCTGCCTGGTGACTTAGTGATTTATTGAGACACGCTTTCAAAATAAAAAGTAAAGGGTTGGGGGCATAGCTCAGTGTGTAGTTCCCAGTACTGACCAAAAGGAAAGATTATAGTCTTCCCTGTCCTTGACCTCTGTGCCCCAGACCCTGTGTCTAGAGTTAGCCCTTCTGTAAGTCAGTCTGTGGGGACTTGGGGGCCCTGCCAAAGCCAAACCCACAGGAGAAAACAATTGGAGAGGGGTGGGGTGGGGCTCAGAGTGGCGCACTTGCCGGGCAGATGTCTGGATTCCATCCTCGGCATCACAAAGAAAACTCCCAAATATTGTATTAGTTAGCTACTGCTGCATAACAAATAGTTCCAGAAATGAAGTGGCCGGAAACAGTCAGTGTCTCCAGTCAGTTTCTGTGGCTCAGGAAGCACAGTACGATTTGGACATCTTTCACAGGCTGTGATCAAAGTGTCAGCCAGGGTCACTGTTCTGGGATTGCTGGCAGACAGGAAGAGATCTGCTTCCAGGAGCAGGACTCAGGTCCTCAAAGAAGCTGCTTGGCTCCTTGCCTTGGGAGTCTCTCCCAGGAAGGCCCCCCACAGGGCCTTGGCTCCTGACCCGACAAGCAAGACCGCAGGAGGAGGGAAGCCAGATTCTTCCCAGCAGAGTTTTAATGACTTCTGCCTTGTCCCGTGGATGGCAGCAGGTCACCGGGTCCAGCTCATGCTGGCAGGGCACTGCCGGAGGGCAAGGGTACCAGGAGGCCAGTTTACCATCTGCCTGGCACGCTGACTACAGTCCTGTGCCCCAGGCACCGGCTTTACAGCTTCTCGTTGGCTCTGCTCCCTCCACCCCCGAGGTGAGAGCAGCCTGTACATTTGCACCACGCTAAAGGAGCACGTGTGTCTGGGTATGACACATACCAGTTGTCCCAGCACTTGGGAGGCTGAGGCAGGAGGATTGCAGCAGTTATTATCTTTTTTTTTTTTTCTTCGGTACTGGGAATCAAACTCACGACCTTCAGCTCTCCAGGCAGGCACTTAGGCAGCTGAGCTATCTCCCTGGCCCCCCTGGCATGAGTTCAAATCCTGCCTGGGCTATGTAGTGAGTTCAAGGCCAGCCTGAACTACATCACACAACCCTGTTTCAAAAAGCCAAAATAAATAAGTAAATAAATAAACAAATGAGCATCTACCCAACTTGCCTAGGGACACACAGCTAGGGAAGAGAGAACTGAGACCTGGATCTTTCTAATTTCAATCCCAGTGAACCTTTTTCTTTGTACTGATGATTGAACCCACGGCCTTCACATTAAGCTCCATCTCCAACCCTTTTTCTCTTTTTAATTTTGAAGGCCAGGGATATAGCTCAGTGGCACAGTGCCTCCCTGGCAAGTTGCGAGGTGATGAGTTCAATTCCCAGTACCAAAAAAAAAAAAAAAAAAAAAAAAAGAGAGAGAGAGAGAGAGAGAGAGAGAGAGAGAGAGAGAGAGAGATAAGGTTTTGCTAAATGCCAGAATTGCCAGATTAGACTTGAACTTTGGTGCTTCGGCCTCCCACGGAGCTGGGGTGATGCCCAGATGTCAAGCCTTTCTTACTCTGACCCACCGTGGGCTATGGCCCACCCTGATTCCAGTCAGGGAAAGAATCCTTTCGTGCTCGGTTCTCCCTGCCCCTGCAGCCCCAGGTTCATTCGCTTTAAGTAGTTTCGCTCTGTCAGAAGCCTGGGTTACATCCAGCTATTGGACGGAGGAGCAAGTGGTCAGCTCCAGGGGTGGGCAGATTGCGTGGGGAGCTCCTGGGGAGCTCTGGGGAGCTCTAGGGCCTCTGGAGTGGGGTAGGAGGGCAGCCGAGGTGGGAGCCCTTGGGGCCACTGAGTGTGGTTTTGCTGAAGCAGGGCAGTGACTTGAAATAACAGGACTGGAGTTGCCAGGGGTCCTGCTGAGGCCGCCCTGTCCTCTGCGACTCTGTGGAAGGCAGGGCCTGGTGCCACCTGGGCTTGGGAGCTGTCAGCTGGGCACACCAGGCATGGACTCTAGGGGACCTGGAGCTCTAAAATCAGAGCTACCATAGCGAGAGCAGGGGGGACTCAATGACACTTGTGCGTTTTTCTGGGACAGCGTCCTCACTGCTGTCAGATTTGAAAATGGGGCACGTGGTAGTAGAGAGGCTGCGCATGGTGGACGCACAACACTGCAGAGATAAAGTAAGCCAGGCTCAGCCCTGCTTTCCAGAGCAGGCGCCATCCTGTGCAAGGGTGTCGGGCCCCCTTACGCCTGGCGTCCAACCTGAGCCAGGGGCTTCGTCTGGATCTGGCTGAGCCACAAATAGCAGCAAACCCCAAAGAGCTGCAGTTAGCCGAGTTTGGGGCGGCCCACGTCTGCAGGCTGTCATCTCCTTGGATCTTCCCACTGCCCACACCCTGGGTGGGTGGCATCTCTGAGCTCATACCCAGCTCGGCTCCTCCCTGCCATCTGAGGGGTGGATTTGGTCCAGGGCCCCCCCTCCTCCCTAAGCCACTGAATTCCGTCTGGGACCCTCTTCTCCCCCGGCTCCCAGTGCTTCCCTCTCCAGCCTGGCCTTTGCTCACCATCGCTGCCCTCTGCAGAGAGAATCCTCGTTGCCTGGTGTCGTGATGCTCACCTGCAATCCTGGCACGTGGGAGGCTGAGGCAGGAGGATCACTATGAGTTCAAGCCAAGCCTGGGGCACATAGAGACTGTCTCAAAAATCCAAAACAAGGGCTGGTGAGATGGCTCAGTGGTCTAAAGCACCTACTTAGAACAAGCTTAACAAAAGCAAAGGGACCGCGGTTCAATCCCCCAGCACCACATGCCAGCCAGCCCTGCCCCCTGGTGGGCTGAGCTGGTCACACACACAAATAAAATTAAAAAAAAAAAAAAAAATCCAAAACAAAACGGGAGGGGGCGGCAGAGAGAGACAGAGACAGAGACAGAGACAGCATTAGATGTGCTCGAGACGTCCAAGGTGCCCTGCACAGGCCTGAGTGGATGAGGGACAGCTGTGTGCCAGTGTCACTTCCTCTACTCTATTCACAGGCAGCATAAAACCCACTCAAGAACACCTTGCATGAAAACTGACAGTCTGAATTAGTAGAAACGGCTAATGAGTTCAGCTCACCCAGGGCTCCACGTTGCAGCCTGACCCTGGGCTGACCCTGGAATGCCCTTACGTGGCTCTACACGCTGGGCCTCCACGTTCTCCAGAGTTTGCCTTTCTAGGGCGCACTCCAGGCCAGCTGTGTGTGAGTGGCCTGTGCCAGGCTGCTGGTGGGGTGGTGGAGGCCCCTGAGCTGGCTGCAGAGGGAGAGGGACCAGTCGCACACATGTGGTGCAAGCCTGTCATCCCAGCACTCAGGAAGCTGAGGCAGGAGGGTGCTATGAGTTCAGATCCAGCATGGGCTACACAACGAGTTCAAGGCCAGCCACTACATAGCACAACTCTGTCTCAAAAAGTAAATAAAATATTTTTTTTTTGAACTGGGGATTGAACGCAAGCCCTTGCGCTTGCCAGGCAGGCGCTTATTCTACTGAGCTATCTCCCCAGCCCAAAATAATTTTTTTAAAGAAGAGGAGAAACTTAAGTAAATTTAAAAGGGAGAAGATAAACCCAGCGAGGACGAGAGAAGAGAGCGGGGAGCTACCCCTGCAGGGCCAGAGTCATGGTCATAAAATGAAGAAGAAAAGGAGCAAAGAAATCAGTGAATGAAAGCTGCTCTGCTAGCCCCCGCCTGACACTTTTGTTCAAAAGTGTCCACCGGGGTCCCTCTGTGTCACACTGTCCCCGGGAGCTGAGATGCAGACAGAAACAGGCCTGCACCTTGGTGTTGAGCCCCCAGCAGGACTTGGCAGGCGTGGCTCATAGGACCGGGCCGCCTAGGGGCAGAGTGAAAACAGGTCTTGGTACCAGAACCAGGCCTTGGGGCAGTGCCTGCGCTGGCCCCGCAGATGGACGTCACTGTCCCTGGTGAGCCCCAGATGTGGGGGGAGAATCCTAAGGCGAAGCACTCAGGCAGGGATGCTGAGGATTGTTTATGAAAAATAAACCCATTACCAGAGCCTGCACTCAAACAAGTACCAGCTGGCCGTGGGCGTGCACCGGCTCCGCCCCAGGACACATCTCCTCCCTGGCCTGCTGCCGCCTTGTTTGGGGGACACCTGACCATCTCCCACAGCAGCCCTGGCTGGGGTGCATCCTCAACTCTGAGAACTTGGCAAGCATCTGGCTTTCCTGTCTGCCTGGAGATGGCCCATTTGAGAAAGGCACCCGCTGCGCTGGGCAGGGAGCAGAGCTGGCTCACTCCAGGCTGCAGCCGCAGTAGAAAAGCTCACCAAAGGTTTAGAGCAGGCTGCGACCCATTTGTTCATGCTTCATGCTTCACCATTCACCGTCGTTTCTTGTTTTGTTTTGGTTTTTACAGGGTCTCACTATGCAGTTCAAGTTGTCCTTGAAGTCCTTTTTTGTAACCCAGCCTGGTCTCAAACTTGCAGCAATCCTCCTGCCTCAGCCTCCGTTGGGTGCTGAGATTGCACATGCCTGGCCTTGTCATTTTTCTCTGTCTTTCTGTCTCTCTCTCTGTCTCTCTCTGTCTCTGTCTCTCTGTCTCTCTGTCTCTGTCTCTGTCTCTCTCTCTCTCTCTCTCTCTCTCTGCCTCTCATCTTTTCCTGTTACATAGAAGTCCAGCCCTGCAGCCAGAGCCAGGCCCAGGGGTGCAGACACCAGGACTCCGTCTTGGGGAGCTCCGAGTCTCAGGCCCGGCGTGTAGTTAGGAGAGTGAGTAGACACTGACTTAGCACTGGCAGGTGGAGCTCAGTGGGGCCCACGTCCTGAGGGGGTGGGCGTGTGCAGGCAGGAGGGGGCACAGCGGGTTTCGCCTCCTTTCCCCCATGGCGTCTAGGTGCTGAAGGGGTGTCTTTCCTGTGCACACACAGCTCCTGGGCCCAGTAGCCAGGGTGCGCTGTGGAAGCCAGGCTAGAACTCTCCCTGGCCCCCGGGTCGCCTTCCCATAGGTGGGCCTGGTGCCCTGCTGGGCACAGGCCCTTCCTTCCCCTGGGTCTCTGCCAGGCCACACTTGCCCTTGGCAAGGGCGCTTTCTTGTTTGAAAACAAAAAAAGTCTGTGAATGGGGCATGGTGGCGCGCTATAATCCCAGCCCTCTGGGAGGCTGAGGCAGGGGGATCCAAAGTTTGACTTATCTAGGGCGATTTGTCAACTTAGTGAGAGAACTTGTCTCAAGACAAAAAAAACTTAAAGAGCTGAGGGCGGAAGTCATTGCGAAGGCTGTGTGTTCCAGAACGGCAGCACCAGCACCGGGAACCTGTGTGTGTGCCCATGTGTGTGTGTAGGAGTGGGGCACATGTGTGCCCCTGGGGGCTGCACCCACATTGGTGGGGGCTGGGGCCTCTTAGGACCTGGTCACCCCAGGACACCCCAAGTTCTTGTCCCCATTTTGAGGCTTTTTGCCCCTCTTGACTGGGGTTGTCCCAGAGGAAGATAAATATGCTTATTGAATCTTTTGGGTTTTGGCTTCATTATCTGTTTCTATTTTTTTTTATTTATTTATTATTTATTTATTTATTTATTTATTTACTTATTTTGTGGCGGAACCAGGGATTGAACTCAGGCCCTTATGCTTGCCAGGGAAGCACTTATTCCACTGAGCCATCTCCCCGGCCCTGTTTCTATTTTTTTAATAGTTCATGCAAGCCTTGAACTCTGTGTATCCCAAGTTGGCTTCAAACAAATGATCCTCCTGCCTCAGCCTCCTAAGTGCTGGGATGACAAGTGTGATTTAGTTGTTTTCTTTTTTCTTTTTTTTCTTTGCAGAACCCGGGATTAAACTCAGGCCCTTACACTTACCAGGCAAGCGCTTATTCTACTGAGCTATCTCCCTGGCCCTTTTTTTTTTTTTGGTACTGGGGATCAAACTCATGACCTTACACTTGCCAGGCTGGGGCTTCCGCTGCTGAGCTATCTCCCTGGCCTATTTGTTTTTAGGGTGTGTGAATGTCTCTCGACAGATGTGGGAATCACCAAGTGGTGCAGGACATGTGTCCCCGACTCTGTGCTCAGTGACATTGGGCAGAGAACCTGAAATCAGGCTGAAACCAGTCTGAGCTGCTGGTGGGGACTCCAGGCAGTTGCTGACACTTTCAGGGACTTCCTGCAGCTGCCTTGGCATTGAGGCCTGAGTTTTAGGTCTGGCCTCTGCAAAAAAAAAAGCCCCAGAAACTAAGCCCGCACGTGCCGTGGCTGTGGCACACAATGGCCCCTCCTTGGCTGTCTTTTCCTCTTTGCCAAATGGGGAGACGGTGACCTCTGTGCACCCCAGAATGTTACGAGGTCGCCTGAGATGATTCAGACGCAGCGCAAGGTCGCCCCGGGGCGCCACCCACTGGTGGGGACGCGGCAGGTCCCCCGGGAGAAGCCGGCGCTCAGGGGCGCTGCCCGAGGAGCGCAGCACCGGGCGTCTGGAAGCCTGCTCGCTTGGGTGCGCGGACGGGAGATGGCGAACCTGCTGGAGCCTTAAGTGGTGCGACCAGCGGCTGCCGCGGGCATGTGCTGTCAGCTCGCCTCGCCTGCCTTAAATGCTTCCCTTGGAAGGATGGGAGGGGCTTGGTGAGGCCTAAAGAGTTGTGCCAAGTTGAATCCACCTGCAGGTTTCCCTGTGTGGCCTCAGTTTCCCCACTGTCACACAAGGCAAAACTGCTTGACTCCTTGGAGCCCTGCAGCTCCCAGCGGTCTCCTCTCTGGCCAAGCCTGCGCCTGGGCAGCACTCCCACGTACACACCACGCAGACCCTCGTCCTCCCACTCCTTCCTGCTGTCCCTCCAGGTGGCAGCAAGTCCAGGATCTGCTGGGGACAGGAGGAAGGCGGGTGTGCCAGCCTGGATCTGGTAGAAGCTACCCGGCCCACGTGCAGGAGTCCTGGGAGGGAGGCTGCGTTGGCATGTGTCGTGGTCCCTGGCAGGAAGGATGGCCCTGGCCCTCCCCTGGAGGTGGGGGTGGTAAGGGGAAACCGGGAGCAGCTCCCAGCCCCCAAGCCCATCCACCCCCTGGATATTAATGTCCCCATCTCCCTATTGTCCTGTTTCTGCTGAGGGCAAAAATGAAAAGCAAAGGAAGCTAGGATGACCGCAGGAGAGGCCTCAGCTGGGGCTTGGGGGGCCAGCTGAGGGAGTGGGGTGGCCCTGGGATGCTGGGCGTGGGGAGGTTGGCACTGGAGCCTGGCAGGGTGAAAGCAGGCAGGAGTGATGTCCAGGCTGCCAGGCAGTGTCGGGCCAGGAGCTCAGAGGCGGTGACCATGCTGTCCCAGTACCACGCACAAACATCGGCTAGGGTGGAGCTCCTTCTGTGTCCTCAGCCCAGGGCAGTGCCTGGCTGTGGGTGACAGGGTGACCAGTGGTGGTTGATAGTGCTCAGATTTGATTTTGAGCCACACCAGCAGCGTCCCCTCTTCACTACCCTGGAGGACAGCCTTGGTCTCTGAGGTGCCCGGCTGAGGTGGCAGCAGACGTGGTGGGGAGATCGGGTGCCAGACAACAAGGTTCAATCCTGGCGGAAGGAGGAAGGAGACATTCCAAGGTGGAGCAGCAAATGTTGGGATGTGTCACGACACTCAGCTATGCAGTGGGCACCCCTGATTCTTTATAGGAGGGGGCACTTGGGTGCCCAGCGGTGGCACAGGAGCTCTCTGTGTGTGGATAACCCAGTGAGTCTGCTGTCACCTCAGCAAAGTTTCCTCGCCTGCAGGTCTGGGCGTGGGGTGCACTCCTGTCATCCGAGTACTTGGGAGGCTGAGGCAGGAGGGTCAGCACAAGTTCAGGGACAGCCTGGGCTACAGAGCAGACCCTACCTCAGACAAACCCTAAACAAAACAAGGACCTGAAGCCCTGTGGCCTGCTCACATTCCACGCTTCCCCCCAAGCCTCCAGGTCCACTTGGAGTGGGGCCAGGCAGCTCTGGCTGCTGTGCCCGTGGCCCCCTGAAGCACCAGGCCCCCAGCCCGCGGGCCTCCTGGCTCCCTCGGAGCTGCGCCCTGTAGCAGGCCTCGGAGCCTCTGGCTGGGCCCAGGGCCTGAGGACAGGCACTGCCTTTCCTCTAGAGACCCGGCGCAGAACCATCTTCGAGTACCACCGTGTGGAGCTGGACACCAGCAAGATCACCAGGGCCTCGGCCGTGGAGTTCACCCCGCTGCCCAGTGAGTAGGGGTCGAGCCGGGGCTGGGGGACGTTGTTTGGTCGTGGATGCAGTGTGGAGTCAGACCATGCTCACCAGAGCCCTGGAGGCCACGGCCACCCAACTGGGCCCAATGCTGCCACCTTCCCAGAGCTATGGCAAAAACCAGAACCACCTAGTTAAGCTTTGCTTTTGTTTCTTTGTTTTTGAGATACAGTCCTCTCTGTAGTCTAGGCTGGCCTCAAACTTAAGTGAGCCTCCTGCCTCAGCCTCCCAAGTGCTGGGATTACAGGTTTGTGTGCATTGCCTTGTGCCTTGCCTGGCTCTGGGCAAAACACCTTTTAATAATCAGCTGTCTGTATGCAGAGCCGAGTACAGTCTGCCCCAGTAGGCATGAGGAAGAGAGCCTGTGTCTCTTGTCCTATGGCCATCACCCCTGATGTCTGTCGGTTCAAGTTAAGGGTCAGTGCCTTCAGCAGAAGTGAGCTTCAGGGTCCAGAGGTTACCTAGCAACTGTTACCATAACACCACCCACAGCAAAGCCGGGACAGTCTGTGCTGCCCAGCTCCATGACCTCCAAGTTAGAGGTCTGTAAGTTGACGAAGCATGGGCGGCTCATGGGTTTTTCTAGTTCTCTCCTTGGTAACAGCTCGAGAGGCACATCCTTCTCCTGAGGTGTCTGTCACAGGGTCCCACGGCAGCCTCTGAGACACACCATGCTATGCAGGCCCAGGGTTCACTGTATCCAGGGACTCATTCTGCTGTCACAGTTATCTGCGCCCCCCCCCCCAGTGGCCCTCACGGTTCCCATGTGACCTCCCAACCAGGGAGGACCAGCTCATACTTAGGGCTTACTGGAGTTTTCCTCCTTAACATGTCATGAACCGCAGGACAGTTCTGAGTCTGTTGTCCCTTTCACTGGATGGTCTGTCCAGTGTCTGTCTCCCTGTGGCTCCCAAAAAGGCAAGGATTGGGGATCAGGTCAGACCTTAGGCTCCCCAGCACCAGCTCAGGGCCAGACCCTCTTGCACCGGATGCGTGGAAAGCGGGGAGGAAAGGGGGAAAGAATCGAGGCTGGACAAGCGAGGGCTGCACTTGTGACCCTGAGGTCCCTTCGTGCTGGGGCAGGCCTGCAGGCTACCACAAGGCCTGGGGCTGAGCACCTCTCTCTGTCGTCTCTGTCTCCTCTGTCTCCGTCTGGGCTGAGTACCCCTCTCTGTCGTCTCTGTCTCCGTCTCCGTCTCCCCACCCCGCAGCCTGCCTGCAGCACCAGAGCTGTGACACCTGCGTCTCCTCCAACCTGAACTTCAACTGCACGTGGTGCCACGTCCTGCAGAGGTTCGTGCCAGCTCCACACTCAGGCTGGGATGGCCCGGGCGGGTGCCCGATAGACTTGCAGAGTCCTCTGAAGCCCCTCTCCGCCTCACTGGGAGCCCAGGCATCTGCATTTCAGCCTGAATCATCCTTGGCCAACAACTGGCAGAGCTGCCAGCTCACAGCCGGATGTGGGTCACTGAGGCAGAGCCTGACGCCCCAGGGCAGGGCCTCGAGTTTCCTGGGAGAGAGCCAGCAGAGAGAGGGAGGATAAAGTTCTTAGGGCTGACTCACTGTCCACGGCCCTTTAGAAACTGTTCCCTCCCAGACTGGATACCTAATTCAAGCTCAGTTCTGTGGGTCAAGAGGAATGACACCCACAAGAGGGATTCCCAGGCATGAAGGCTCTTACGGAAGCAGGAAGCCCTAGAGCGGAAGTGGAAAGCCCTAGAGCTCAGCATCACCTGTGGCATCACCCGAGGGTCCCCACCAGAACCCTGGGATCCTGGAGACCGTGTCCCTGGGGGGTCTGACTGTGCCGTGCTGTCCTGAGCACCTGCAGGGCTGAGACCCTTGGTGATTGGGGTCAGGCCGCCTTAGCTGGGGGAGCCCTGGGAACTCAGAGCAGGCTGCTGCCATGGGGGGGAGTCAGCGTCCAGTGCGTGCTGAGCCATGGGAACTGCAGAATGAGCAAGGGGAGGCAAAACTCTTAGTGGTGGGCTGGGGATGTAGCTCAGTGGCACAACGCTCACCTGGTAAGCACAAGGTCCTGAGTTCGATTCTCAGTACCAAAAGAAAAAAACAACCCAAAACACTCTTAGTGGCTTGGCACTCCTTGGCCTTGGGGACCATGGCAGTGTGTGGGGTGGGGCTTGACATCAAGGGGGGCTTCCAGTGTGGATTTTGCCCTGCTGTGGTTTCGTCAGTGGCAGGCAGTGCCACTGTAGGTGTGAGGCTGAATGGGCTGGAAACTTCCTGTCCCCCGACACTGTGGACAGGATGTGCTGTGTCGAGAGCCCTGGAGTGCCAGGAACATGGCTGCCTGTGTATCTCTTCTCCCCTACCCTCATCCTGTTGTCCTTCTCCTAGGGCTCCCTTCCCTGCTCTGGGCCAGGTCTGATGTAGACAACATCACTTCCCCTGGTAGGCATCTCCTGCTCATCCTGTACCCCTGGCCATGGCCCTCTCTGGTGACATCAGCCCCTGGATTGGCTTGTGAGGCTTGTAATCCTTGCCTCTGATGTCACTATGGGGCTCCCACGAGGTGATTAGGGCGCTGCTCAGGGCTGGGCACCCTGACATTCTGGAGATGCCTGGTAAACGGTTCCCTCTCCTGCCAGCCTTCAACTTGGTGGTTGCTCAGGGCTCAGTGGGTGCTGCCCTAGAGCTGTCCTGCAGGCTGAGCTCCTGAGAAGTCAATTTGATCTAAAAGAAAGAAGTCAAAACTGGGCATGGGACTCACGCCTGGAATCCCAGCACTCGGGAGGCTGAGACAGGAGGGTCAAGGCAAGTTCAAGACCAGCCTGGGCTACAAAGTGAGCTCAAGGCTAACCTGAACTGCCCAGCAAGACCCTGTCTCAAACACAAATAAATAAGTCTCCATCCCCCCTCCCCCCGCCGTGCCCTTGACCCCCACCCCACAGTGACATCAAGGGGATATACGGGAAATCCTGCTGTCCTGCTGCAAACAAGCAGCTCCCAGCCAGCGGAGGCCTCAGCCCTGGGAGGCCTTTCCGTTGCCTCACCCGCCTTGGGCAGATGGTGGGCGGCTTGAGCTTGCCGAGAGTTATTTCTAGGCCCTGGCAGCTCCGGATGTTGTCCTCTCCACGCAGATGTCGCTGAGCTCGCGTGGGGCTCAGTGGCTTCCCTTGTGCTCAAGAGCCAAGAGCGTGGGAAGTCCTGGCTCACCCTTCGCCTCCACCCTCTCCCCAGGGAGGTGCTTGGTGTCTCCTCTCCGGCCTCTGCACTGGCCCTCCCCGCCCCTTTAAAGGTCACGCAGGAAGTGTTGGTGTGTCCCCTGGTGCCCAGCCGAGGGGGACCCGCCACACACAGGTGGGCAGATGTAGCCTTGGCCCAGGAGAACCAGGTCAGGAAGGTGGGGATGCTGCAAACACCTCCCTGCCTCCAGGGAGGATGGAGGAGCAGGATGTCCAGCGCAGGTCCTGCGGCTGCCAGGGGACCTCGGGGAGCCTGATCACCTGGCCTGCAGCTAATAAATGGGGGGCTTTCAAAAGGGGACTTCTCTGCTGATCCCTACGTCTCTGTGCCTGCTGTCCCCCTGCAGGTGCTCCAGTGGCTTTGATCGCTACCGCCAGGAGTGGCTGGCCTATGGCTGTGCCCAGGAGGTGAGCAGCTCGGGCAACCTGTGTGGCCCCTCCCTGTGTGGCCCCTCCCTGTGTGGCTCTTCTCTGGGTCCCTTTTTAAAAATACTTTTTCTTTTTTTGCCTGGCTAGGGATGTCTTAAGGGCAGGTCTGGACAGGCATGAGGATCTGGGGATCGAACCACAGTATCGTGAGCCTGACTGCCTTTGCTTAAGCAGGCACTTAAACAACGGAACTAATGGGCAGGCCCTTTAAAAATATTTCTGAGCAGGGGCTCGCCATATAGTTTGGGCTGGCTTCGAGCTCATGACAGTCTTCTTGCCTCAGCCTTCCCGGTGCTGGGATTACAGTGCACCACCACACCCGGCTCTCTAGGTGTCTTTAATCCTTGGTGTCTTCTCTCCTCCACCTGTGATTTGTGTTCCATCTGCCCTGAGCCTCCCAGACCACAGTGGAAGTTTCTAGAAGGTTCTGGAAATCCTTGTGAGTCCCAGCCACAAGTACTTCCAGACTTGGCCATGAGCCGGTAGCCCCCAGGAACTCCTCTGGTCCCTGTGGAGGGGACCTGGACATGACCTCAGCCACAGTTGGATCCTTGAGGAGGCTGTGGACACTGACATCGGCCAGGCACCAGTCCTCCAGCCTTTCAGAGTGGCCGTCATTCTGGGATGTGGAGGGTGTCCCAGCATCTGCTGTACGGAATCTCATGCAAGGTCCTTCTCACTGTTAGAATTTTCCAGAACACTCAGCACCTTGATTCCTTGATGTTATTTAACATAACCCCCAAAACTGAGGGCCAGTGTCCTATTGATTAGTCCTTCCTTGAGGAAGGATTTGAAGCAACTGACAGATTGCCCTGTAGGACAAGACCCTTCTAGGACAAGGTGGATGGTTTATTTTGTGAGACAAGGTCTCACTAGGTTGCCCAGGCTGGCTTCAAACTCCTGGGCCCAGGGCCCTCCTGCCTCAGCCTCCTGAGTAGCTGGGACTCAGTGGAGGTTTAAATTACTTGGGGCCCAGCCATGTCCAGAGGCAGCAGCACCTGGCTCTCCCGCAGGCAGAGGGCAGGACGTGCGAGGACTTTCGGGATGAGGTCCTGTACTCGGCTTCCCCCAGTAGCTCGGGCAGCCCCTCGGACGGGGACATCACGGTTGACACCACTGCCACGTCCCTCTTGGGTAACAGTCTCACCACGGAAGGTAAAGCCAGGCCCTGGGGTGGCGTGGTGTGGGGGCCAGCAGAAAGCTACATGGGGGGGTGGGGATCAGGACCTTCCTGCCCGTCTGCAGACACAGGGCCTCTGCCCTGGAGCTTAGCTTGCTGCCACGAGCCAGGAGCGGGCTCAGGAACAGGGGGCACCTGTGGCTCTGAGCCTGGTGCTGCCGGTGGGCTGTGGGGTGGCATCACCGTGAGCAGAGCTCGAGGTTCCTCCTCAGTGCCGAGCATGTCATCGTCATCTTGGTTTAGCTGAACGGCGACCCACATGGGACCTGCGGGGGCTTCTTTAACCTGGTCCACACTCGGGTGTGGCCTCCTCTAATCCAACCCAACTCCCAGGCCCCTTGGCCTTGCTCACTGTGTGGGCGGAGGGGCCAGGCGGGGCTGTGATGTCTTCTGTCCCCAAGGCTCCCTGCCACCTGAGGCCAGGGGCCTTTTCCCAGTACATCGTGTCTAGACCAGTGAGCCCCTTCCCTAAGGTGGTGGGCTCCCGACAGCACCCCCGGACCCAGACGCCTGCTCACAAGGGATGCAGGGAATGAAGAGGGAGGGAGGCGCATGGGAGACATCGCTCAGCCACAGCCTTGGTCACCCCAGAGGAGACAGGCTCGGGGGCAAGTTGGCCGGGCAGGAGGCAGCTGCCTCTCTAATCAGGAGGAGAAGGACAGAAGGGCTGATGTCCTGGGAGCTGGCCATGTGCTACAGTCACGCACGGGTTCACATTCAGTTCTCGCCACCCTAGGTGTTGGGAGTGCGGTGAGGTGTGATGGAAAAGTACAGTGAATATTTGCATTTTTTAAAAAAAGTATTACTACTAAGCGCCTGCTTTGGCAAAAGCAGGGACCAAGGATTGATTATCGGTCCCACATGCCTCACTGGCCCCACCCTCTGGGTGAGCTGAGCCAGCCACCAAGACCGGGCATGGTGGCCCACACCTGTAATCCCAGCGCTGGGGAGGCTGAAAACAGGAGGATCACTACGAGTCTGAGCTGCGTAGTGAGACCCTGTACCAACTACATAAATGAAAAAAAAATATTACTACAGAAGACACACTGGTACCAGGCCCCCTGGCTTCCAAAACCTTTATCCCATCTTTCTTGCCACTTCTTTCTTTCTCTCTCTCTCTTTTTTTTTTTTTTGGCAGAACCAGTGATTGAACTCAGGCCCTTGCACCTGCCAAGGAAGCGCTTATTCTACTGAGCCATCTCCCCAGCCCCTCTTTCTTTTTTTGATCCAAGGTCTCACTGTGCAGTTCAGGCTGGCCTTGAACTCACTTTGTAGCCCAGGCTGGTCTCAAACTCACAAGGTTCCTCCTGCCTCAGCCTCTCAAGTGCTGGGATTAGAGGCATGCACTACCACATGCTCAGCCACTCCTATAAAGATGACAGTAAGGCTCAGAGAGGGGGATGGTGATGGAGTCAGGTCCCATCTCCCTCCCAGCTGTCTTTCCCCTCCACTCACTGCTTTGCCCGTACTGAGAGAAATAGACATGGGTCTGTGCCGGTGCAGGACACCAGATACCCCAAGGCAGATCTGGCCCCTGAGGGGACTCGGGGTTTGCCTGAGAACACCAAGGAACTGTTAAGGGTTAAGACCCAGTGGGCATCATGGCACAGGCCTGTAATCCCGGCGTTCGGGAGGCTGAGGTGGAGGATTGTTGCAAGTTCAAGGCCAGCCTGGGCTACGCTGGGAGACCTTGTCTCAAAAAAAAAAAAAACACACACACACAAAAAAAAAACCCTCAGGAGTTGTGGTGCCACTCTGTGGACTGATGGAGTCAAGGCAGAAAGAAACCTTGACCAGACTGGAAGTTAACAAGCGAGTGTGGGGTGACCTTGCCCTTGGAGGAAATCCCACGCTTCCCCAGGGCCCTCACTCGGGGCTGCAGCCCTACCCCTTTTTAGTTTATGTTGAGACAGGCCCTCACTAAGTTCCCAAAACTGGACTCAAACTTGTGATGCTCCTGCCTCAGCCTCCCAGGAGAGCTAAGAACACAGGCGTGCGCCACCACAATGGGCTTCCAGGGCAAAGTTTTAAGTTTTTCTCCTAAGTCCCATCCTGACCCCGGGTGACAGGGGCTGTGGCGACGTCGCTGACCTTTCTCCTTCTGTGCTGTCTCTCTGCAGATGACACCAAGCTGAACCCCTCCTCGGCGGGAGACGGTGAGCACAGTGCAGCCTGCGCCGCCTCACCCGACCCCCGGCTCGTTGGGGGCTGGGGAGGTCACGGCCGGCCGCCTGCCTGTTTCAGGCCTCCTCTAGATAGGACATGGCCTGTGCTGGCATGGGAGGGGGAGGGCTGAGGCAGGACGGGTGACGAGGGGATCTGTGGCCACAGCTTGCTCCGCGGGAGCCTGGAGATCAGTGAGGGCGGCCAGGGTCTCTACTAACACTGGCTGTAGGGAGCACCGGAGCCCCCTGCCCCCGCTTAGCGCCCAGCACAGACCCGGGATGCAGCCACCACAAGGGCTGACGGAACTCCTGCTCCAGGCTCGCGGCCCTGGGAAGCCCCCGTCCCGAGTCTGTGGAGGATACCCCCGTCGCCCACGGCGTTGTGCGTCTCGCCAGCTGCAGCTCCCAGCGAGCAGGGCCTCTCCACAGAGCTCACCTTAGTCTAAGAGTAGAGGACACAGGTGAACCGCAGCCTCACTGCTGTGACCAGTGACAAATGTGGCTGTTCTAACAGCTCGCGCTTCCCAGGGTCTTTCTGGGTGCTGGGCACCAGCGACCTTGCAGCCACCCCACCTGGTCCCTATTAGTGCCACCCTTGTTCCTCAGAAGTCATCACGGAAACCTCAGGAGGGTAAATGATGTGCTCGTGGTGGCATGCTACAGATTTAGCCCAGAGCACACTGCTCCAGGTCCCAGCTAGCACGGCTGGGCCGAGCTCCTCACCGGCACTCCACTCTCGCAGCCCAGGGTGGCAGAGCGCTTCCCTGAGGGTCGCTGACAGACATCCGGGCCACTCTGGAGTGACTGCAGAAACCTGCCTGCAGGATGACTTTGCAGTCTCTCCACAGGCCCGGGAGACAACCTGTCCCCCGACACCAAGGGCCCTCCCGTGCGCCTGGGCGCCATCGTGGGCGTCGTGCTGGCAGTGCTGTTGGTGGCAGCCCTCACCCTCACTGGGATTTACATCAGCGGCCACCCCAACTCCAGCGCTGCGCTCTTCCTCATCCAGGTCGGTGTAGGGTGGGCCTGGGCCGCCGTCTGCTCCCGGGCCATTCTGCCCCCACCTGTCTCGCCTCTTAGCCCTCTGTGCCCCATATCCAACAGACCTCTTCCATCCAGTCCATCCTGCAGGGCCAGGGCCCTTGGGGTCCCCGGGGCACCTTGGCCCCCAGTAGCTGTCAGCTTTCATTCCCCCTTTGTGAGGGGAGCTGGGGGTGTAGCTCAGTAGCACAGCACCTCCCTGGCAAGTGTGAGGTCCTGGGTTCGATTCCTGGTACCTAAGAAAAAGAAAATCCCCAGAGGAACTAAGGAGGCCCGAAAACGCCACCGCATGCCCGCTGCGTAGCTGCCTTTCCCTGATGACTGCAGGAAAGGACGTCCCGGTGCCCACCTCCCTTAGGGGCTGGGCCCGTGGAGAGGTCACAGCCACCCTGTGACTCCACCCCTGTGTCCCCATAGCGGAGACCCCACCACTGGCCGGCCATGAAGTTTCGCAACCATCCCAACCACGCTACCTACACGGAGGTGGAACCCGTGGGCCATGAGAAGGAGGGCTTCGTGGAGGCCGAGCAGTGCTGAGGGCGTGAGTGGCGCCCGGGATGGCAAAGCAGATGACAAGTGACTTTTCCCTGCCTTCTGCAGGCTCCATCATGGCCAGGAAAAAGGGACAGAGGCAGTGGCTCAGATGTGGGAGCCACGGCGTGCCCTCACACCCCACTAGGTTGGAGCAGAGAAACATCCACATGGTGGGGCTTTTAAAGAATAAGAGGGGCCAGGAAGATGGCTCAGTAGAATAAGCACTTGCCTGGCAAGCCCAAGTGTCTGAGTTCAATCCCCGGTTCCACCAAAAAAAAAAAAAAAAAAGAATAAGAGCCCAACCTCCCCGCCAGCCTTTGGCCTTTCTGTAGGGCTCCTGCCCAGAACCCCAACATGGCGTAGGCTGGGTTTTCAGGGCCCGTGGGCTCCAGAGCTGGTCCTCTGTGCAGCCCGCCCCAGGTCATTGCTTACCACAGTGACATGACTGGAGCCTGGCACCTCCAAGGCAGAGCCTGGCTCTTGAGGACAAGCAGGGTCGAGGACTCCTGAACCCCACTCCTGGGTCATGCTGCTGGGACAGCAGGGACAGAGAAAGCAGGGACTCTCACTACCAGAGCTTGACCTGGAAAGTGGCTGCAGGCAGTGTTGCCGGGTAGGAGCTCGAGCACCCAAACTTAGCCCCTGTCCCCCGAGGAGCTGGCTGCCTCTGGAGCACACTGGGCTGGAGATTAGAGCTCAGCGTCCTTCCGGGAAGACATCTCAGCCACAAATAAACAAGAAGTCAGTCTCCGCACTTTGCAGGCTTGGTGGAGGTACCAAGGGACTGGGAGGCAGGTGGCACGTGACACCCACACATCTAGAGCTCTAGAGTTTGCGACGAGGACTCTGATGAACCATGGGCAGTTGAGCACAGGCTGAGCCCCCCTTCCAAATCATGAGAGAGCGTGGTGGGGTGAGTGTGTGTGTGTGTGTGTGTGTGTGTGTGTGTGCACCCTAATTTGCAGAAGAGAAAAGCCAGTGCATCACAGGACAGCTCTTCGCAAAGCTCTGCAAGACCAGGAGGTCTGCACTGGTTCTCGGGCAAGGGACCTAGCGCTGAGGTCCAGCGCTGAGGGAGGCTGAGACAGGAGGACTGCAAATTCGCACCCCACCAGGGAAATTTAGTGAGACCCTATGTCAAAATAAAATTTAAAAGGGGCAGCTGGGGGTGTAGCCGAGTGGTGGAGCCCCAGGACTAGATTCCAGCACCAGGACTGAAAGAAATGTGCTGCAGCACCCACACATCCCGACTGCCTGCGCCCCTGCCCGGCCAGCACAGCCTCTGTGGCTGCTGTGGTCTACACAGCCAGGGCAGTGGAGAGCGCCCTTTGTCTCCTCCCAAACTCCACCAGGCTTCTTCCCACCCAGCCTGACCAGCCTTCAGGATTCCAAGAGAAAGGGCCAGAGGTGCCAGGAGACCTCTGCCAACCACCACAAGTGGAGAGAGAAAAAATTTTGGAGCTGGGGTGGTGGCCCTTGCCTGTCATCCCAGCAATTGGGATGCTGAGGCAGAAGGATCTGTATGGGGATGCTGAGGCAGGAGGGTCTCTGTGAGTTTGAGGCCAGTTTAGGCTACATAGTGAAAAAGGATAAAGCCAGGATAGTGAAAAAGGATAAAAGAGAGAGAAAAGAGAGTTCCAGCCTGACTGACCGCTGGGACACGGTGACTGCCTCAGGAGTGGAACTGCTTGGCAGCAGGGACTGGTTTGTTCACAGCAAGAAGGACTAAGGCTGTGTCACTGAGAAGCCTCCGGACACCACCAGCCTGGGTTTCTCAGGCCAGAGGACTCCCCGGGGTAGAGGTGTCCCCGCCCCTCAAGGTCCCTGGCATGAAGACCTGGGAGGTGACCCTGGTTTCAGAGCAGCTTTGCTGGGGAGCTTTGGGGGTGACTTGCTTCGAAGGTGAGAGACTGGATGGAGACATAGGGGTCAGGGTCGCCTCTCTGAGCCTGGCTGAGAGGCCGGAAGGCGGCGCAGGACCTCAGCACAGTGCTCCACCCACCAGGCTCCCCAGCCCGCCCACCCACGCATCCAGGCTCCAGGAAGGCTGCGAAGGCGGTGGCTGGGAGCTTCTTCTCCACTTGGGGGCGCTGGGTCTGGCGGGTCAGGCCGGAGGAAGTCTGATTTATTCCAGGACCCTTAAGAGGAAACCAAACCCGGAGTGGGGGGACAGGTGCTATCCCAGCACTCAGGAGGCTGAGGCAGGAGGATCGGTGAGAGTTTGAGATCAGTCCTGGCTACAGAATGAGACCTTGTCTCAAAAAAAGGAGGGGGGCAAGAGACCAAAAGATGTGAGCATAACAATTCACAGGTGGACACAGGAGGGCATGACAGAGAGACTGCAGCTCAGGGCTGGTCCCCTTCACTCTCGCTTTCTTAGATCTGTGCGTGTGCTCCATGCAACGTGCCCATACACCTCATGTATCCAAAATAAAACGCCGGGCCGGCTAAGAAGGCTCGACATGAGTTGGGGCCAGCTTGGGCCGCACAGTGAGACTCTGTCTCAAAAAAGCCATAATGACAATAATGTGAAATAAAATGCAAAGGCGGTGGGGGTGTGCAGACAGACCACGGTCCGTCCAGGGCTCCGCCAGCCCTGGGCCCTCCTCTCCAGCTCCGAGAGCAGCGCCTGCCGTCCGTCCCCGTGGTGGGGCGCGCAGGCCGTGAAGTCAGACTCGCAGCTATCTAATCCACTGTCTAGAGATGCGAAATAAATCTGCGCAAGCCCGCGCCATGTGTCCCCGGATGCTTCGCGTTCACACGACTTCAGCAGCCTCAGTGTGTTTTCATTACTTGGTGGTGTTTTGCTCACAAAACGGGTTTAGCAAACCAAAACAGGAGAGAGGAAAAATTTGAACTCCTCACAGCCAAAATCAGCGATGCCAAATTTCAGGCTCCAAACAAGCCAATTTCTAAATAAACACAGGGCGTTGGCCAAATGAAGAGGAATGTGCTGGAAGAGGAGAGGCGGCTCCAGAGGAGGGGCTGGGCGGGCGGAGGGGGAGCTGCGGGCTTGGAGGGGCGTGCCCGGCTCTCGGCGGCTGTGGAGGCGGCAGGTTTCCAGGGTAAAAGCTGGAGAGAGAAGGGAGAGCTTGCGGCCTGATCTGAGGCTCCAGGTGACCTCACAAACAGCTAGGGAAAAAGGAGAGCATCTTGGAGCCAGCCCAGGACCAGGATGCCCGGGTCTAAATGCAATGAGCGGGCCGGGGAGATGGCTCAGTAGAATAAGCAAAGGGCCTGAGTTCAATCCCCGGTTCTGCCAAAAAAATTAAAATTAAAAATAAATAAATAGGGGCTGGAGAGATGGCTCAGTGGTCTAAAGCACCTACTTGAAACAAGCTTGGCAAAGCACAGGGACCTCGGTTCGATCCCCCAGCACCACATGCCAGCCAGCCCCGCCCCCTGGTGGGCTGAGCTGGCCACACACACACAATAAATAAATGTAATAAATAAAAATAAATAATAAAAATAAATAAATAAATAAATAAATAATTACAATGAGAAAGAGCCAGCCAGATAGCTCAGCGGACTACAGCGCCTGCTTGGGCAAGCTTAGAGGTGGGGTTCGATCCCCAGTCTGTTGTGCCGGCCCCTCCCCCAGGCGCCCTGAGACAGCGATTGAGACGGGGAGTGGTGGTGCGCGCCTGTAATCCCAGCTTTTGGGAAGCTGAGCACAGGAGGATCACTACGAGTCTGATCTACATAGTGAGACCCTGTACTAAATACGTTTAAAAAAAAAAAAAAAAACAGAAAAGGTCACCAGGTAAAGGACTTCGTATACATTATGTCCTGCCCATGTGCAGTGGCCCACTGCCCCCCCTTGATTACTCCATAATAATTAGCATGTCATTGACTATGCAGATTTGAATGCCATGACAGTTCTCCAAGAGTCATAAAAGATCAAAAACTCCAACACTCCAAGGAGCTGAGTCAAGCCTCGGCCCTACCCAAAACCGGAAGGTTCAGAACTCTCAGGGCTCTTCTCCAAGGAGGGGATCTTGGCTTTTCTCTTTCAGATAAATCACTGATTTGCTGCAGCTCTTGAGGTTCTGCTTGGTTCCTTGCTTAGGACCTCAAAAACCAGGACCAGATGCCAAGCTGGTGACAGGAACCTTGCAAACGCCTTCACACAGCAACCTTGGCTGGAGCATCGCCCTCCGCCATTCCCAGGAAGGGATCTCCCAGGTCTTGCTAAGCCTTTGGGACCACACTGTCCTTAGAGAAGCTGTCCCATCCATCAGTTGACAAAGTGCGGTTAACAGTGTCCAGCATGCGGTAGCACATTCACTAGGCACCATTAGTGTGTGACTTCCCCAGGTCGCCGGGAGGGGCCGGGGACAGCCCCTTATCCAGAGCCTCACCTTCCTCAGTGCTTGTAAACAGGCAGTACTCAGCAAGTGCTCTAAGGCCTCGGTGGTGTCTCTGTCACTTGCTTATGATAAGATGCACCTTCCTGTCTCCTCTGACTGAGGATAGGCATGGCTACCTCCACCAGGAGGCCATGGGTTCAGAGGCGGAGGCAGAGGATCATTATCATTGTGAGTTCGAGACCAGCCTGGGCTGTTCAGTGAGCTCAAGGCCAGCCTGAGCTGCATAGTGAGACCCTGTCTCAAAAAGACAAAAAATAAAATAAAAAATAAAAACCCACATGACACAGCTTTAGGCCCACAGCTGCATCAACGAACACCTGAATTCCGTGCCTGATGAGGCTCCCCTGTTGGAAGATACTCCTCTGCTTGCAGAGGGGACAGGCTCCCAGCTGGTGCCAGCACAATGCTGTGTCTTCAGAAGCCAGCGGAGAGAACTAGGCCTGGGCCTCACCGACTCCCCCAGCGGCTGGGCTCGGCTGGGCTCGGCTGGGCTCGGCTGGGCCAGGCCTGGCCGGGCTGCTGAGCTGATGGGAAGAGGAGACTCTGGGATGCATACCCTGTGCCGCTCTCCTCCCAGCACAGGCTGGAGCTGCCTGGTCTTCTGGAGCAGGGAAATACGCCCAGAGAGACAGAACCCACCATGTCCCAGGTAGGCCTCCAACAGCCTCGTGTGGGCAAAGGCTCAGGGCCAAAAACAAGAGGCGGGGCTATTCGTGGGACCTCACTTGACTCTGTACCCTTCCCACCTGCAGCTCCTTTGCAGTGACAACAGAGTCTGGGCAAGTGGCCTCACCAAACCCAACCACTGCCATCTCCA